ATTAGGGGGCTCTGATGGAGTGCTAGGCTTAACACAATATGGCTGTATGGTGGAACTGAATCCCAATATTTGTTTGCTGAGAGAGGTGATTCTAAGCAGCAGTGTAGAATTAAAAGCTGTATTTTTTTTGTGCGCTGTTCCTTAATCTGTATTTTGTATATTTTGAGAGCAGCACCATTGAGGAGACGTGCATGCCCCAGGTGTGCCCCCTCAACTTTCTTTATTCTGTTTATTTGGAACCCAGACCAGATTCCTTTTTGGTTCGCCACACCCACCCCTCCACTATTTTGCCCCTTTGAAAGTGACCACAGGAAAGCACACATTTCCCAATTCCCTTTTTAATTTTTTTTAAAGGATCGGAACTGAGAATCTGCCATTTACCGCACTCCATGTAGACAGCACCAGTTAGGAGTGCCATATACAGGCACATGAATAATATCGGACTATAATACATGAATAAGAATTCTTGTCGGGCACAATGTACCTAGACCAGGATTTAGTCAGCACATCGTACGTTTCATGAGTCACACATGCAGGAATACAAGAACATTTTCTCTGTGATTTGTCCAATATTTCAAAATGTGCATGGTCTGTTTTCTGCAAAACCTGTGGAATGTTCGGGGAGGACGGAGTCCTTTGATTATTAAATTGTGTTCAGCTTGGAATTTAAACATAACGTCCGTAGAATCGCTTCCCTCATTGCGAAACCGACACAATCTTTTGTCAAGTTAAATTATCTTTACGTTGCAGCATGAAAACAAAATTAACTATATTTCATAGCGAATTGTTCATTCATAGCGGATTCTCCACGAGACACGCATATCTTTGATGTTAACGTGATAAACGTGTATAAATAACTGTTCTCAAACATAGAAAGAACACTCGAAAGGTAATGAATCATGACTTAACCAGTGACCAAGAGCTGATCAGGCATTTCTTAAGGAATGAAAGAGAGAGTTCAATTAAACACGTTAGTATTGAACGCACGATTTTCATCCACGTGGAAGATAAGAAGCCATTGTAAGGCGACACAAACCGTGTATAATGTGTGAGGTTTTTTTTACTTGACATTTTAAATGCAAACTTATTGAACAGATTCATTTGACACTTACAATGTGAATTAAAGGGACAGTCTAGAGTCTAGACAACCTCTTCAGCCTGCTGTAGTGTTTATCGTGCACACAGCCTCCATCCCAACGTCCTCTGGTCTGTCCTTTTGTGATAGAGCTAATGTGGAGGCTCCCATTTTGCAGTAGTGATAGTAATTTCTCTTATCGTTGGGTGGAAGCTATAGACTGATGATTTCAGCTAACACTCTCTGCGATACATTTCATCCAAATATCTAGGGAAACAATTAATTAATAAATCCATAGTAGAAAGCCTGTGGGACCCAGGTAGGTGTCTAACAGTTAGAAAATGGTTTGAATGTCTACCATTAAACAGGGTCAGGGGACTCCTAGAACTATAACCACTACAGGGTGCTTTCGGAGTTATGGTGCCTAGAATGCTCACTTAAAAGCAGCAACATTTTATTTGATTTTATTTATTAAAAATAGTTTTTATTAGGAGCTTAAATGGACACTTCAGACCCCTAAAGCACTTTAGCTTGATGAAAAGCTTTATGTGTAAAGCGTGTGTCCCCAATAGAAATTGTCACCTTTATAAACTAACTTTGCTACACCCCCCTGGCTGTCAGACATTGGTCCTGTAATGTCCTGGTTTGGTTAGTTCAGTGGAGCTAAACTCAAGAGGCAGCAATTGCCCAGAGCACCTGCCTTGGAAAGACTTCTCATTGAGCTACAGTGGTGAAGCCTGTGATTGGACAGCCACAGAAAGCCTGGGCGGGCTTAGAAGGGGAGGGCTTGCAAAGTCTGCAGACAAGAGATATGCAGATATTCCAAGCTGTTTTAGACATACCCCAATGAAAAAAGAAATGCATCATTAAATAAATGTTTTCATTGGTGGTATATCTGCTGAACAGTGATTTTTATTTATTGTGTTTGTGCAGTAGAGTGTCCCTTTAAAAAGATTCACAAAAACTGGGAAAACTTAAAACGTAAGTGAACAGGAATAAAATCTGAAACTAGTATATTAAAATTAAACATAGAGGAAGAAGGGGTAGGTAGTTGTAAGACTGGGTAGGTAGGGAGAGGAGTGGCAGCAACTGGAGAGGAGATATGCAGAGACGGGAAAGGCAGTGGGCAGTGGCGTACCTCGGGTATGGTAGGCACGAACTACATCAGAGCTAGATGGTGCACCAACTCTGATCGGCCCCCCTCGAGCCAGCAGGGAGATAAAAAGATCTGCACACACACATCACATACAGCCAAAACACACACACACACACACACACATCACATACAGCCAAAACACACACACACACACACAATCACATACAGCCAGCAAACACACATCACAGCCAGCACACACACATTACATAAAGCTTGAAATTCTGATAAAGTTATCTAAAAGATGGGTGTCAAATGTTTTCATGGTAGTAAGGGGCGCAAGTTCAGTGCTTGCTATAGGAGCTATATTCAGTATATATACATCTGGGTGGGGAGTATTCAGAGAGGGGGTGAGGGTATGCTGAGAGGGGTTTGGTGGTAGGTGGAGAGGGGGGGTCGATGTAAGCAGAAAGGAGGGGTTGGGTGTATGCTGAGAGGGGCTTGGTGGTAGGTAGAGAGGAGCACAGCAGTGCTGTATTTACCATGAGGCTAACAAGTTATTTGTCTTGATCGGCACTTTGGGGGTGGGGGGGGAGGGAAACCGCCTCCCCCAAACACCACAGCAAATGCCTTGTTAGCCTTGTGTCATGAGGGGTCCAGCGGGTCCCCCCAAGACGTTTGACAGTGCTTATTGCAGGCAAGTGGCGAGGGAGCGCTGAGCAAGAAGATTACAGCTCCCTCACATCCTCTATTGACCACCCAACAGCCACACTGGACGCCAGGGAAAGGAACAACTCCAGCTCTCCTAAAGGTAGGGAGGCTGGGTGGATTTAAATTATAATTTGTAAGAACACGAGAAAATGCATGTGAGTGTGTGTCAGTGAGTGCGTGTGTGTCTGTCAGTGAGTGTGTCTATCAGTGAATGTGTGTGTGTGTCAGTGTGTGTCTGTCAGTGAGTGTGTGTCTATCAGTGAATGTGTGCATCTGTCAGTGAATGTGTATGTTTGTGTGTTTGTCTGTCAGTGAGTGTGTGTGTCTATCAGTGTGTATGTGTGTCTGTCTGTGTGTACCAGTGTGTCTGTCAGTGAGTGTGTGTCTGTCAGTGAATGTGTGCATCTGTCAGTGAATGTGTGTTTGTGTGTTTGTCTGTCAGTGAGTGTGTGTCTGTCAGTATGTGTCAGTGAATGTGTGTGTCTGTCTGTGTGTGCCAGTGTGTCTGTCAGTGAGTTTGTGTCTGTCAGTGAATGTTTTAGTCTGTCAGTGAATGTGTGTGTGCGGCAGTGTGTGTTTGTTAGTGAGTATATGTCAGTGTATGTGTATCTGAAGTGTGTGCCTGTCAGTGTGCGTCTGTCAGTGAAAGTGTATGTTGGTTAAACAGTGTGTGTGCGCCATCTGTCAGTGAGTGTATGTCAATGCATGTATCAGTGAGGGCATGTGTCCGTCAATCAAAGTGTGTGTTAGTAGTTAACAGTCAGAGGTGTGGCATTGACAAAAAGGAGTGGGGCAAGTTTAGATTAGGGGGTAACTGAGTTTAGACATGCCTAGGGCAGCACAAATCTAAAACCCATCACTGGGGAACAGAGGGTCAATGCAAGCAGAGAGGGTAGCAGGGTGGGTGTATGGGTATGCTGAGCGGAGAGGGTAAGGTGTGGAGGTAGGTGTAGCATTTTCTTTCCACACAGACTCAGAATGCCAGAGCAGGTGAGCGGCGTATGAAGGGGCGGAAACATGACGCAATGTCGTAATCTCAATGTCAATCTGAAGTACAACAACCACAAGTAGGTTTCAGTGATGAGGATGCGTGAAGTGAAAATCATGGCCAAGGCTCCAACAAGACTGGACCATTTTAAGAGGGTGCAGTCTGCACCCCAGGAGCAGACCGCATTAATTGCTCTTCTGAACTGGTGGTCACTTAATGTGTCAGAGCATTGCCACGGTAAGCCAATGGCAGCACTCTGACTCATTTTCTTAGTGTGACCATTTTATTGTTAGTGCGGCTATTTTATTGTTATTCAGTGTACTGCTGAATTGGCATTGGAGACCAAGGAAAGAGAGAGAGAGCTGTGGGTTTTAACTTTATGGATATTTAAATAATACATTGTAATATTTGTCACCCTTTTATGTTGGGCTCCAAATCACCCTAACAGATTTCCTATGAACAATTGTGCCACACGAAATCTAAAATCAACGCGTTATACCGGATGGTTTAGAGAACAGTAGCTACAGATAAAAACATGTCAAACTACTAGGAGCTAATAATAAAATACAAAATATCAGGTAGAATGACATTTCTCCAACATCCCAGTGAATGAAAATCAGAGATAGATATATTTGCACGTTGGCTGAAGTAATACGTCAATAATAAATCGCCAATAATTTGTTAAACAGACTTTCAGGAAAAATGGACAAAAAACCCCATAAACCCGTAAAACAAACCCGTATAATTTAGGCAAAACCAGCTTATTTACACAAAAACTCACACACTGCGCTCTAGCGACAGATTGACGGTTTTATCCTGAATTTCACCATTTGTTGTCAATTTGCCAGAATTCACGTTTACTAAATAATAATTACTTTTGCATGTAAATACAATTCCAGGGAATGTCTCAACACATTGCTATACTGGATCAGACACTTTAATGTAATTTGTTATAAGGAATTCAGACACACATTGTCTTCCATAACTAGGCAGAGAGGAAGAGTGACTTGATCCAGTAATGTCAGTGTTAATAGTGATGACTACATTGTATACTCAGGAACTGCTGAACAGTCTTTCATAGCCCGGCCCCTTCTGTATATATAGTGAACATTACTTTTTCTCACAGTATTGCACTCTCTCCACCCAGCTGACACAATGCTCCCAGCTATAGCAATCCTGCTGACCTGCTTACTGTGTGCTCTGCTATATGTGAGCCTCTTCAGGAGAACCAGGTGAGACACTAGTCTATTCAGTACCAGCTGCTAAGATCTGTGAAATGCTATCAGTCATCTCCAGTCTCAGTTACTCCTTTCTACAGCAGGATGGCCAAACCTGAGATTCCCAGCTGCTAATGGATCACTAATCCCATCATGTTTTAATAAGATTTAATATCAAAGGAATTACAGTAATTACAGAACATCATCTGGCCTCCACTTTCTGAGATTGGCTGTGTATTTTATTAGACTGTAGAAGTATTTCTAAAAAGTAATAATTCTAAAATAAGAACTGTACCTATAGTGCCAGGTTATTTATAGTACCAGATAGATGGTATAGATTTTATACAGCTGCCTTGTTGTGATGGGAGCTGCAGTCTTAGATCTGGTTGTTTATACTGGTCTGTCAAATATAAGGTTTATGTGTTTATTATTACCGCTCTGTGACAGAATACTGTGTATTGTTTATGTAGTGCTATAATGAATCGAGAACATAATCCATTTAATATATTGATTGCAATATTATTTATAAAATTATTGTCAGATAATATATAAATAATATTGTTATGATAAGGTGACCCTTACTGCACAATTGGGATTTGTTTGTTAATTAGTTAACTGCAGTCAAAAAGAAAAAAAACAAAAACACTGTATATTAAGGGGAACTAGTGGCGATAATTAAAAGATTTATTTCATTAATTAACGTCAGTAAATAATGTAAAACCATCAGAGACAATGGCGAGGCAAGTTTAAGACGAGGTAGCCCGAGTGTCTGGATTACATTGTCTTTCCTATATTGAATGGGGGTTTGCAAGGTCTAGGTATAGTCCGCAGAGGTCTACAAGTGATGAGAGTGCGGATCCCTCGATGTTTAAGATGAAGACAGATACACAAATTAATAGAATATATTATTATTTTATTATTTATAGAGCACCATCAGATTCTGTAGCGCTGTACAATGGGGTATAGTTTGTACCTGCTGGCTGTGTCCACTACATTCAGCGATCTCTCGAATTGCTCTGGCAGAGGAAAGATTATTGGCCCTAGTCTACCTAGAAATAATGAGATAAGTTACATTTAATATATTAGGCGCGGGCAGGGGGGGAAGCACAAAAATAATGCCTTAAATCTGGTCAAGTCAGCGTTTAACTGTTGGCAGACTCTGGGAATTCTGTTTGGGAGCTGGTTGTGTTTTCTTTTGGATAAAGAATATCAGAGTTGCAATGTTAGGTTTTGCCCAGTCATAGTATTGTGTAAGAATCAGTGCTGGTTTGGTAAATCCGGTGATAATCTAGTCATTCTAGACCACAGTTATTACCTGCGGAAACGTGCCTGTGGTTTAGGATTAAGAATAGCTTGGAGCATTCATGTCATCTCATTAATTTTCACAACCAGTTCTCCAGGTATTTTAATCCTTTTTTTATTTGCATCACGAAACGTGTAATTATAAGGCAGCTGACGCTGTGTATCCATACCAAACCAAGTCATTTCCCAGAATCCCACTGGATCCAGCTTTCTCAGAGATGGGGGTTTGAGGTGTCCCCTGGACTCTAGTGGGAATTCAGAAAGGGAATTCTTGGTGGATTCCAACTTTAAGGTCAGGGTAGCCAAACTGCAAGTATAGCGGACTTTGAGAACCCAGCCAATAAAAACTGGCCAATGAGATTTAAAGGGACACTATAGGCACCCAGACCACTTCAGCTCATTGAAGTGATCTGGGTGCAGTGTCCTTGTCCCCTTAACCCTAAGCAGGTAATTATTGCAGTTTTTAATAAACTTTAATAATTACTTGCTTGGTTGGAGATATTACCACACTCTGCATGTGAACTTCCAGCATCACCAAAATCCCCATAGGAAAGTACTGAATAATGCTTTCCTGTGCGGAAACCTATTGCCAGCGTGTCCATTGCCGCGCATGTGCATTAGGTCTCTCCCATCGGCTGACGTCAGCACCTAAGCCAGCACATAGGGATACCTGCGCTGTACCCAGGTAAGTGACAGAAGGGGTTTAATGGAGGGGTAAGCTCTAGTGCCAGGAAAATGAGTTTGCTATAACAGCTGAGTGTTTCCCTCTGGCACAGAATGTGTTAAACAGTTCAGGGAAACCGAACAATCCGCCATTGCTTAGTTTTGGATTTCATGACTCAGTAGTCTTTTGGCACTTGTCCATTTTGTACATTAAGGGTTTGTGTGTGCGTCTACATTCATTACAGTTGTAGACAATGTCTCAAACAGTGTGAAATGACAATCTCCAAGAATAACGACACATTGCGTTACGGAGAAAGGTTGGGATACAGTGATGCAAATTCCTGGCTATCAGATGGTCTACTTGCCAACACCAGTTGTGTCACCTTCATGGTGACGTCTAAACGTTCTCCTGTGTGTCTGTAGGATACAAAGACTATCTTACTGGGCTGCGTTTACAGATAACAGGACACTCACAGGGCCAATTTCTTAATGCATATAATTCATTGCTGCATTAAATCAAGTACAACATTTCAGTAATACTTTGTAGTTTTCCATGAGAAAAAGTGACTTGCAATTGATTGTCTTGGGGGAGGAGCAGGGGTTTGTTCCTCTGGCTTCAGCACCTATGAAGGGTGAAAAGCCAGCACCGATGTATGTGTTTTTTTTATGCCACGGAGTTCAATTTCCAGAGATCAGGGCAGCTTTAGCTTTGACACTGTGTGTGTAACTCGCCCAGGCAGGGGCAGCCTGTCCAACGTGTCGACTTTGGTATGATGGGTGTGCTGACACCACATGTAAAACTGATACTGGCATCCAGGAAGAGAGTAACCCAGCTGGCTGATTGACAGCCCAGAGGTGGAGACTCTGGTGTAGGAATTTCATTTTTAAAATGTGCCAGAGATGTCTTTACCATTCGTAGTCCTCACATATAGTGTTATAGGAGATCCCATAATGTTCTGGGGGCTGACAGGTTCAGTGCTCAGTCTATGGAGAGCTGCGGGGTTCAATATTCAGTCTATGGAGAGCTGCAGGGTTCAGTGTTCAGTCTATGGAGAGATGCAGGGTACAGTATTAATTCTATGGAGAGCTGCAAGGTTCAGTGTTCAGTCTATGGAGAGCTGCAGGGTTCAGTGTTCAGTCTATGGAGAGCTGCAGGGTTCAATCTACGGAGAGCTGCAGGATTCGTGTTCAGTCTATGGAGAGCTGCAGGGCTCAGTGCTCAGTCTATGGAGAGCTGCAGGGTTCATTATTCAGTCTATGGAGAGCTGCGGGGTTCAATATTCAGTCTATGGAGAGCTGTAGGGTTCAGTGTTCAGTCTATGGAGAGATGCAGGGTACAGTATTCATTCTATGGAGAGCTGCAAGGTTCAGTGTTCAGTCTATGGAGAGCTGCAGGGTTCAATCTACGGAGAGCTGCAGGATTCGTGTTCAGTCTATGGAGAGCTGCAGGGCTCAGTGCTCAGTCTATGGAGAGCTGCAGGGTTCATTATTCAGTCTATGGATAGCTGCAGAGTTCAGTGTTCAGTCTATGGATAGCTGCCAGGTTTAGTGTTCAGTCTATGGAGAGCTGCAGGGTTCATTATTCAGTCTATGGAGAGCTGCAGGGTTCAGTATTCAGTCTATGGAGAGCTGCAGGGTTCAGTGCTCAGTCCATAGAGAGCTGTAGGGTTCAGTGCTCAGTCTGTGGAGAGCTTCCGGGTTCATTGTTCAGTCTATGGAGAGCTGCAGAGTTCAGTATTCAGTCTATGTAGAGCTGCAGGGTTCAGTTTATGGAGAGCTGCAGGGTTCAGTCTATGGAGAGCTGCAGGGTTCAGTTTATGGAGAGCTGCAGGGTTCAGTTTATGGAGAGCTGCAGGGTTCAGTCTATGGAGAGCTGCAGGGTTCAGTCTATGGAGAGTTGCATTGTTCAGTTTTTTGGAGAGCTGCAGGGTTCAGTTTATGGAGAGCTGCAGGGTTCAGTTTATGGAGAGCTGCAGGGGTCAGTCTATGGAGAGCTGCAGGGTTCAGTTTATGGAGAGCTGCAGGGTTCAGTCTATGGAGAGCTGCAGGGTTCAGTCTATGGAGAGCTGCAGAGTTCAGTATTCAGTTTATGGAGAGGTGCAGGGTTCAGTCTATGGAGAGTTGCATTATTCAGTTTTTTGGAGAGCTGCAGGGTTCAGTTTATGGAGAGCTGCAGGGTTCAGTTTATGGAGAGCTGCAGCGTTCAGTTTATGGAGAGCTGCAGCGTTCAGTTTATGGAGAGCTGCAGCGTTCAGTTTATGGAGAGCTGCAGGGTTCAGTTTATGAAGAGCTGCAGCGTTCAGTCTATGTCAGGGCTAGGCAACCTTTGGAACTCACGATGTTGTAGACTGCATTTCCCATGATGCTTTGACAGTATTATGACATTACAGGAGCTGTAGTTTACAACACGTGGAGTACCAATGGTTTCTAATCCTGGTATCTGGAGAATGGCTGGATTCAGTGTTGTATGGATGGCTGTAGTGCTCAGTGCACTAACAATAACTGCTGCTGGTTTCAGAGTTCCATCTAGGGAAGATTGCAAGATTCACCACTCTTCACGAGAGCTACGTGGTTCAATTAATCTGGGTTAGAAAATTAAAATACTAATTTTGCTGTTGGTGGAAATCAGAATTCTCATTAAAAGGAAGCCAGACTGAGTTTAAGCAATTGGGTCAATAATGATTTTGTGAGTTGAGAGTTTAGCCAGAGTTGAGCTGCCAGACAGTGAGCTACTTGAGAATTTAAAATCTGGACATCAGAGCCAAAGAATAGGCAAATCTGCCAAGTTTTTTCTATAACCAAAACATACAAAAAGAGCCGGCCCTGATCTACACAATGACGCAGTGATGTCATCAATTCCATGGACAGAATAGAAACGAGTGGCCAAATCTGTTAGCATTAAAAAATAAACAACGCAGAGCGGTTTAACCGCTTGTATTCTTTGGACCGGGTCCATTCAAAATATCCCCTATTCTAATCTGTGGTTTCAAATATAAAGGAAATATTCCGCTAAAGGAACAAAACTCAAACGACCTAAAAATTGCCTTCCGGTGTTTTGTGTTCCCTTTAATCGGACAACTCCTGCTTGGAAACCGTAACAAAACAAAACAAAACAAAATACAATATATTATAGAAAAGCAACTACTGGTTTATGTCATAATAAAAAAAACAGAAAAAAAAAACTGATTTTGAATGGTTTTATTAAGAGTTTCTCTGCTAGAGCATTCGAGGGAACACCCAACACTTATTTTTTAAATCATTCTTTATTTAAGAGTTTGACAGGTTTATGGTAGGAACAGTTTATATGAAAAGAAATGACACTGCAATGCATAGCCATAACACGCCAGTTATAGTTACAGAATCGCCCTGTGCTTTGAATAGCGTTGGTCCAATAAGATATTTCAGTTAAACAGGACACACATGGTGAGCAGTAAAGACCTATAGAGCCTCCAAGATGTTGGATGGTTTCGATCAGACCATGCATGTCTCTGCAGTGGTCAATACAAGCAACAAATACTCGCACCAGTGCATGTCTTACGTAAGTGTACAATGCGGACTGTTAAACCGGTCATATCACTGGTCTCTGCCCAGTGCCACTGCAATCTGGGTATGATGGCATTCTGTAGGGCCCTGGTCTGATGGGTGAAAAGAGTAGGCACAGAGGACAATACTATGTACATAAAAGAAATATGTGGTACGTGTTATATGATGGGAAGTCCCATGGTGTTGGTAGAAAATGTATGAAGGTCTGAGAAGGAAAGAGGAGAGAGAGGTAGAGTATACAAGAACAGGTGGGAGTCTCCAGGAGGGCTCCCTGGGCACACCATGAGGGAAGGGGCAGGAGAGGTAGAGTAGTAGTGTGGTAGAGGTATCTCTGTCAGAGGTTCTGGTACATATACCAGCTCCTGTACAGTGTTTCGGTCAAAGGAGCACACCAGGGATAGTAAGATTAAATATTAAGTTCCTCCAGCCAGTTTGTTTTTCCATGTTGATTCTATCAGTGAGTTTCTCTACAACTTTATGTTCAGGACATCTATAGGTAGAGATACCACCAAGGTCCAGCTGGAGCCAAAAGGTGCCCCACTAAAAATGACTTCTGGGACACCCAACATTTCTTGAAACTTCAAAACTAAAACATTGATGAGCAGGGAGGCCAGTGAGGGGTCAGTAGTTTAAATAGTTACAGTTATTTAATAAAGTGAGAATACAAAGTGTCAGCTGATCACTCTCAGCCAATGAAATGAGTGTCAGTGCGCAGAATTGAACGGAGTCAGCCCAGAACTCTTGTTTTGCGCTGGGTAATGATGCCCTATACAGACTCCCATAACCATAACCACTTCATATAATTACACGACAGCTATGCATCATGTGATTGATTCCCGTTAGCGGAAAGAAAAGTACTATGAGCCAGCATTAATATTAATTATATTGAACACATTCAATAAATAATAATACAAGATTGTTACCAAGTAGCAAAATTAAAAAAGTTAATTAAACTCACCTAAAAAAAGTGAGAAAAGCAAGTGGAAAGGCTGGTAAAACTTAGTGACACAGTGACAGCAAGTAGCGTGATGTTTAAAGAAGGATTTCCCAGGGCCCACGGCAGGTTACCCCCTTTCTTTCTTCGCAAATTCATAGTTCTGGGGTTTTATATAAACAAGGATGAGTACTCTTGTTATCATACGATCGGTTCTACATTATGAAACATAAATCATTAAAAAAAACAAAGTAAAAAATAAACAAAAAACCCACCCCACTTGTGCCATGTGTTTTTGGAAGAAATATTGGATTTATTTTTTCCCATGATCCTTGTATATTGGCATTGCTGCTGAACAGCGTGCAGTGAAATCCTCAATTAACCTCCTTGGTGTGAAAGGATCTTATTTTTGGTGGAGTGTGTGGAAGTGAGACGCAGAATGATTTAATCTGCGCGGCATTGAGTTTCCCAAAATGACATCAGATTTACATTGTATAAATATTTATAGAATGTTTTCATGAGAGCAAGAAAAATATCAAACGTTAAAAGGTCGTAATGTATAAACGTAACGAGATCCTTTAATTAGCCTTCTATATTTATATCACCCCCGTATTCTAACTCTCACCCACTGGAAATGTAGTCACGCAGCAGGAAACGCAAATACGCCAATATTTCCAAGAATGGGAGAAGATAAATATTTATAGCAAGTTTGGGCAGAAAGGGATTGCTCCCACCAAAATCAGATCATCTATTATAGCGGTATTATTAGGAATACGTTGTAACATTAAGAGGAAATTTTATATTAAAAAGAAAAAAAAACACTTTATATGTAAACTCTTCCAAGCATACGGAATACTTAACAGTGACTGTGGCTTTCAATATAGTGTCGTATTTAGCCCAGAATTTCATATGGCTCCTGGCATAAAAATTATTTTTTTTTTGTTTGCTTGTCCAACTATGCTATATTAGACATTTTTTTCCCCTAATTCTGCTCTTATAGTTCACATTTTGTACGTTTCTGTGAACATACATCATTATTACACGCAGGGATCCCTGCCACAGTCACATGCTATGTACATAGAGTACTGCAAGGGTTAATTTAATGTACACAGTGTGCTCTGGGTGTGCCAGGACAAGTCTGCCACGTACATTTAAAAATAGAAATAACCGTGAATTTAAAAAGAACACAACTTACAGCTACAGGGTTAGTCACGATGGCCAGAACTGCCAGGAATTCAGAGTTTATATTTAATTTCAGGCACAAATAGCTGAGCTGAAAACAGAATTCACCTAGAGAATTTTTCTAATTTAGCTATATCGACCTAACTTTTCAAAATCACTTTGAATTCCCAGAAATTCTCACTATAGGGAATAACCCTCTTAGTTTTTGCGTTCACAATCCAGTTGTTCCAAAAAAAACTTAAAGAAAAAAAAAATCACACGTGATGGTCTACCTTTATTAATAGTGGATTCTCCAGTGCGAAATACTAGGCAGATCAAAGCCGACAAAGGACTTTCAAAGTCAGCAGACGTGATAAATCGCTAACTTTTTGGTCTTGAGACTGAATACCGGACTCAACATTTCATTCCACTGGGCGTGTAATCTCACAGTTTAGTAAATAAACCTCTCTTAATACTTCAGCTCTTTGATACAGCTCCATCTGTGTTATACGTGACTCCTCCATCTATAAAACGGTCTGTATAGAGTGCTACCTTCTTCTTTTTGGGATTTATTTTGACAAGTTTTTATTGAGGGATTACTGGACAATTAAAGTCCTCAAGTAGATGGGATTTAAAAAATAAATGGTCTGAAAGAATTCTAGATATGCATGTAAAACCTGCGGGGCAGTCCGTCTGGTTTTCGGAGGTAGTTTGTCTGGTTTTTATAACTGCCAGGTAGGTTTAGAAAAAGCAGGTACTGAGACTTACACAGCTGATACACTCGACAGTTGTCAAATCATAGCTGCATCTTAATGGTGTCGCTAATTATTTTCCATTTCACACAGTGAAGAGAAACACTGAGGTCTGAGTGGTTTATTGTACAAGATACCTGTGTGATGTCCAAGGGAGAATCAATACAAGATCGGAACAAGGGCATGCCTTACTCACAATGTATACAATATTTGGGTTACGTAATCGGACATATATTACAAAGCAGAATTTATTGATGCGCAGTTCCAATTTGGTATTTAACCACCTATTGTAAAAAAATACATTATTTATAAATAACTTAAATCTGATACAGCATTTCTATTTAAAATCTTTAAATATATTTTGGGACGATATACTATAAGCCCTCCTGTACATCATTCTCGCACTTTGTACACATCTTTCATTGACACTCACTTATTAGAACTCACACATGATGGCCTTGATTTAATATTGTTATATAAAATTTTAAAACTATTTAATATTTTTGAATAAAAACTTTTAAAGTAATTTAATATTATGAAACATTTTAAATTGTATGATTTATATATATATATTGTTTAAAAGAGTATATTTTATAATATTTAAATGTATTGAAAAATATAACATTTTAAAGTTTACCCAAAAAGATTAAGTTATTTGAACAGCCTATCCAACAACAGTATCTTGAGGCCATTCCCAAAAAAACAAAACACTTTTAGGCAAACTCCACAAATTCAGGGTTTAGTTTGTAATCTGTTCACAGCTTGCCCTCTTATATTTTTCATCCAGTGAGGATACAGACAGAATTCACATCGCGGTCAGTGACCAGAACATCTGCAAAATGTTTTACACGTACATTGGAACCTCTCTAAATATATTTTGCGCAGATGGAAGCTGATAATTAATTTGATAATTTTATGTATCGGGGCTTTGTTCATGGGGCTGTCATATAAAATGTGTGTTTTTTTTTTATTCCACTAGGCGACCAGATGAACCCCCACTGGACCGTGGATTTATCCCCTGGTTGGGTCACGCGCTGGAATTCGGAAAAGATGCTGCCAAGTTCCTGTCACAAATGAAGGAAAAACATGGAGATATATTCACAGTAAGTATCGCTTCATCACGTTATGGTTATCTTGAGCGCCATTAGTTATGTCTTGTCGATCAGTGGAAAATATTTGGCTTTGTATGGGAGTGAATTTAATTTAACTGATTTACAGTAACTAGCGAAGCATAGTTATCTGAAAACCTTTGCTTATAAATCTAGTTCTGAAACTGCCGGGGATTCGAAATGTGACTCAAAATAATTCCCACCTGACCCAAGATAATTCTCACATTATTCAGAAGAACCAAACCAGTAGGAGTTAGTTCTCTAAACTGGGAAGTGGTGGGAAGAATTGACAAACGCATAGCAAGGTATCGGCTTATTCAATAACCCTACAGGGACCGAGTATTATGTTTGCTTTGTTTAAAAAGAGTCTCCTGTATTTACTGCAAACACATTGATTTACAGCTTCCACAGTGAACATTAAAAAGGAGAACATTTTATTATTATAAACTTTATTAATGTTTTATCTGTGTAAAAATGTATGGTCAACGCCAGAGCATGCATCACTTAGAAAACCATAACTACTGAACCGTATTCCAATAGTGTATCAGAATTAGACGATTGTAAACCTGCGCCTTCTGTATTTATCCACGCAGCCATCGCTGACCGTTTGACCCATTTGTTTATGTGCGTTTATAACAGATAATAAGAGAAATAGCCGGTATACAGAGACATAACACATCCCACATAGCAGACATGCATTAGACACAACACACGCCAACTTGTTTTGTATATAAACATTGCTTTTAGTGTATATAGTCGTATTCTATATACATCATTTACTACTTTTTTTCCTGGCCACTTATATGTAGCGTATCCCAGTACAACTCTGTCCTGCAATGCTGGGATTCTACATTAACTCGCCTGTTGGACAGAGTTACATCTCTGACGCCCTTACCTGCTCCAATATATCAATAGATTATCTGTAACTTGCTTCTGATTTGGAGGAAACAAGAATCAGGAAGTATCTTTCTCACTCACTTACCTCTGTGAAAAGAAATAATGCATCTATGTAGCAGAATGAAAATGAGGATATCTAAAATGGAAAGAGAATACACATTTATAGTGAGCCACCCGCCTATTGGGATGTCTGATGTCTGACCCTGGCTGCGGGGTAGAAAGCCCCAGTATGAACTACAGCAGCATCACTGGCAACAGAATGGACACTGCCTATTGGGTGGGATTCGGAAACAAACACAGTGTGCTGTGGAGTTATGTAACACACTGACAATGTACCAACTGCTGTCATTGGAACTCTCTGATTGCCAAAATATCCTTTACATCTAGAAACATTCCAGTTTATTCTTCCTGGTATAACATTTTATAAATAACAATTTAACAAAAAACAAAAAAAAGTTTCTCTAAATGTCAGATTTTACAACTGTCGATTAAAGAACAGTTCACACATAAAAATACAGTTTTAAATGTTAAAAATGGGAATTCAGTTCCACCATACGGTCATATTGTGTTAAGCCCACCACTACTTCACAGTACCCCAATATCGGTGGGTCCTACACTGATTACATCACAGTACCCCAATATCGGTGGGTCCTACACTGATTACGTCACAGTACCCCAATATCGGTGGGTCCTACACTGATTACGTCACAGTACCCCAATATCGGTGGGTCCTACACTGATTACGTCACAGTGCCCCAATATCGGTGGGTCCTACACTAATTACGTCACAGTACCCCAATATCGGAGGGTCCTACACTAACTACATCACAGTACCCCAATATTGGTGGGTCCCACACTAATTATGTCACAATACCCCAATATCGGTGGGTCCTACACTAATTACATCACAGTACCCCAATATCAGAGGGTCCTACACTAATTACGTCACAGTACCCAAATATCGGTGGGTCCTACACTAATTACGTCACAGTACCCAAATATCGGTGGGTCCTACACTAATTATGTCACAGTTCCCCAATAGCGGTGGGTCCTACACTAATTATGTCACAGTACCCCAATAGCAATGGGTCCTACACTAATTACATCACAGTACCCCAATAGCGGTGGGTCCTACACTAATTACGTCACAGTACCCCAATAGCGGTGGGTCCTACACTAATTATGTCACAGTACCCCAATAGCAGTGGGTCCTACACTAATTACATCACAGTACCCCAATAGCGGTGGGTCCTACACTAATTACATCACAGTACCCCAATAGCGGTGGGTCCTACACTAATTACGTCACAGTACCCCAATATCGGTGGGTCCTACACTAATTACGTCACAGTACCCCAATATCGGTGGGTCCTACACTAATTATGTCACGGTACCCAAATATCGGTGGGTCCTACACTAATTACATCACAATACCCCAATAGCGGTGGGTCCTACACTAATTATGTCACAGTACCCCAATAGCGGTGGGTCCTACACTAATTACATCACAGTACCCCAATATCGGTGGGTCCTACACTAATTACGTCACAGTACCCCAATATCGGTGGGTCCTACACTAATTACGTCACAGTACCCCAATATCGGTGGGTCCTACACTAATTACGTCACAGTACCCCAATATCGGTGGGTCCTACACTAATTATGTCACGGTACCCAAATATCGGTGGGTCCTACACTAATTACATCACAATACCCCAATAGCGGTGGGTCCTACACTAATTATGTCACAGTACCCCAATAGCGGTGGGTCCTACACTAATTACATCACAGTACCCCAATATCGGTGGGTCCTACACTAATTATGTCACAGTGTCCAAATATAGGTGGGTCCTACACTAATTACATCACAGCACCCCAATATCGGTGGGTCCTACACTAATTAAGTCACAGTACCTCAATATCGGTGGGTCCTACACTAATTATATCACATTACCCCAATATCGGTGGGTCCTACACTAATTACATCACAGTACCTCAATATCGGTGGGTCCTACACTAATTATGTCACAGTACCCCAATATCGGTGGGTCCTACACCAATTACATCACATTACCCCAATATCGGTGTGTCCTACACTAATTACATCACAGTACCTCAATATCGGTGGGTCCTACACTAATTATGTCACAGTACCCCAATATCGGTGGGTCCTACACCAATTACATCACAGTACCCCAATATCGGTGGGTCCTACACGATTACGTCACAGTACCCCAATATCCGTGGGTCCTACACCAATTATGTCACAGTACCCCAATATCAGTAGGTCCTACACCAATTACATCACAGTACCCCAATATCGGTGGGTCCTACACGATTACGTCACAGTACCCAATATCCGTGGGTCCTACACCAATTATGTCACAGTACCCCAATATTGGTGGGTCCTACACAAATTCCAACATGGGAGACAAATTAAATAGTGCTAAATAGTGCTAAATATTTAATTAATCTGTTGTAAGAGACAGATGGGGATCTACCTTTTGGCCACTTTTGGGCCCAAAATGATTTCTTGCGCCAGGGTCCTCTCTACAATTCATGGTTTCCGTGCCAAGTTACAATGACTCGGGTTCCCTCTAAGCATTATTATTTTTTTTTTTTTTTTACACGTCCAGCAATGAAACAGAAAGATCCCCCATTGCAGTTTGCTCTGAGGATCGTATCTTAAACACTGAGCCAACAAGACTTAGAATGTTAAAGGTACGATAGTGTCAGGCTCAGACTCCATAGAACCTTCTACAAATCTCTATAACAAAGGCTTGACGGCTGGATATAAAGTGGATCTTTAAGCTACACACATGGATAGACGGTGGTTTAAATGCACACTTTGAAGTGGCCTGCTTTGAACCATTTAATAATAATTACTAAAATATATCACGCCATTGTCCCTTCTTATCTCTAGTTATTTTCTTTGACAATCTGCGTGTCCTGCTCACCATAATAATTTGCAGTTCAGACTATAGCTATACTGCGTCGGCGTCCATGGTGTGGATGTCTGGAGCCGTTGTAGATTATATCCTATAATCTACCTTTTGTGCTGTAATCGGTCTAGGGAGTTTATGAACACTCTTGATTTTGTAATTTTCTTAAATTAATATTTGTGTAATTTCCTTCCACTAGGAGTATTATTGCAAAATAATTGGTTAAGTAAAAAAAGCCGACTACGTAAAGTTAAAAGACAGAATCTATTAAACAGAATTTTTTTTTAAATTCTAGATCTACTGCGATATTTATCTGTATTTGACGTGACATAAACAGAGTTGTATTATTCACTAATCTGTGAATTAGGAATTTACCAGGAAAATGACATATTTAAGCCAATATACCTAAACTTGAATTTATCCTGTTACGACACGTACCATCGGGTAGATGAAGCCGCCGTTTAGGCAATAATCCCCTTCTCCAGAAATGCAGTTTAAATCCAGCCGATCGCCAAACTCCCGAACGAAGTCCACGAACACGGCAACTCCCGATCAGCCAAACAGTCGAACGCCTTCCACAGCTAGAAATAACGAAAGCGCTGTCCCAGTAATAATTCCCCCCACAAACGAGACCAAGCTCCGTCTTGAGGGTCAAATGAAGATCTGTTTAATGGGGGCTACCTGCCCGGTATTTATGCAGGTCTCCACAAGGTGGACACTCCCCGAGGGGACCTTGTGGAAGACTGTAACACATATTGGACAGTAGCCAATCGCAGTGGCTTCAATAATAGCCCTTCCCATCTTGCCCATAATTCCGTCTTCTGTACCTTGGAGATAATTGGGGAAGAAACCTAATTATCTCCCAAGGTAGAGACCATCGCCATCTTAAATTACAGTAACAAAAAGACATTAAAATACATAACTACAGAAATACCGAATGCATATGGTTCGTGTAACGTATCCCCAGACAGCCTGGATCCGAGGGCATGTTTTCACCGAATAGCGCTCAGATCCGATGTATCTAGTCGAATCGCCATGGAGTCAAAGTCTTTCACCAGTCCTTCGGTATACGAATGACTCCATGGGATGGCTGTCGGGGTAAAAGTCCATACGACTGAATAAAACTCCCGAACGACCGACGTTCGCATGCCTTGTCGAAAAGGAAGGAAAGCAGCAGCTTTTCAGCGGTGTTCGGTAGTTTAAGTGTCCGTTTTTAGTTCCATACAGTTTGTACCGAACACCGCTCTGTGTTCGTATGTCCCAAAATGGCCGCTGCCTCGTGGTCGACATGCGAACGACGACCACCCGTACGAATGGAATGGAGAGGTGTCTGCGGTTAACCACAACGTTCTAATTGGGGCCAAGAGGTTAACCAGCAGCACACTCCTCTCCTGGGTGGTCGTTCGTTCGGTAGTTTCAATCGGCATTTTGCAAATACACGAACGGGGGTATATGAACAGGCAATTCCGCGAACAAAGGGAAACAGACGAACCAACAATGCAGATGAATCTGTCACACGGCTCCCCCCTTGTGGGACACTCCGGCAGACCCGGCTTGACCCTTTAGCGGGTCAACGTGGGGATGACCGGACTAAGATGGGGTGAGGATGTCGGTTTGCCTGGACAATCCATCTGCGTTCCCATTCTGCTTACCGGGTCGATAAGTGATGGTGAAGTTATATGGCTGTAGTGCTAAACTCCACCTCAGCAGTCTGCCATTGTCTCCAGAGACCCGGTTAAGCCAGACAAGGGGATTGTGGTCCGTCACAAGGGAAAATTCCTGTCCATATAAATACGGGCTTAGCTTCTTCAATGCCCACACCAGGGCCAAACATTCCTTCTCCACTGCCGCATAACTCACTTCTCTGGGTAACAACTTTCTGCTGAGATATGCGACAGGGTGCTCTCCTCCATCTTCCCCGACCTGGCTCAGCACAGCCCCCAGTCCATACATGGAAGCATCTGTATGGACGAGAAAACGTTTGTTAGGGACTGGGGCAGCCAGGACAGGGGCATTCACAAGAGCATGTTTGAGTGCTTGGAACGCAGCTTCACAAGCCGGAGACCACAGGACCTGCTTAGGAAGATTTTTCTTGGTCAAGTCAGTCAGGGGTTTAGCAATAGAGCTGTAGTCGGGGACGAAGCGTCTATAGTACCCTGCTGTCCCTAGGAAGGCTAACACCTGGGTCTTGGTGATAGGTGTGGGCCAGTTGGCAACTGCCTCTATCTTGGCTGGCTCTGGCCTCTGGCTCCCACACCCTACTCTGTGACCCAGGTACTGCACTTCAGCCATGCCTAAATGGCACTTCTCTGGCTTCAATGTCAGGCCAGCGGCCCGAATCTTGTCCAGCACTACCCCTACATGTACTAGGTGTTCTTCCCAGGACTCACTGTAGATCGCAATGTCATCCAGGTATGCACAAGCAAATTCCTGGAATCCATCAAGAAGTCTATCCACCATACGCTGGAAGGTAGCCGGGGCATTCTTCATCCCAAATGGCATGACCTTAAATTGGTACAGGCCAAATGGGGTGACGAAGGCCGACTTGGGGATAGCATCCTCGGCCAGGGGAATCTGCCAGTAGCCTTTGCACAGGTCTATGGTGGTCAGATAGCGTCCCCTGGCAATGCGATCTAGCAATTCGTCTACCCGAGGCATCGGGTAGGCGTCAGTGGTGGTCCGCTCATTGAGACGCCTGTAGTCCACACAGAACCGGGTGGTCCCATCCTTCTTGGGCACCAGGACTACAGGCGAGGCCCAAGGGCTATCGGAGTGTTCGATGACCCCCAGCTGGGTCATCTCCTGTATCTCCTTCCGCATTCCTTCCCGGACTGCTTCAGGGATACGGTAAGGGGGTTGTCGCAGAGGGTTCTGTCCAGGGGTTTCTACCTTGTGTACAGCTAGGGTAGTGTAACCAGGTTCTTGGGAGAAGGTCGCCTGCTTTTCCCACAAAAGCTGTCTTGCCTGGCCCTTCTCGGTAGCGCTCAATCTGTCCCCTAGCTGTACTAGGCTAGTAAGATCCGTCTGGGGGTCCCTCTCTAACAGGTCTGGCAAGGGTAAACTTTCTGTATCATCTGCAGCAGGGGCACATACTGCAGCGACATTCTCCGGTCTCTCCTGATACTCCTTTAGCATGTTCACATGGAAGGATCGCTGGATCCTTTCATCTGAACAGCTGGCTATAAGGTAGGTAGTATCACATATCTGTGCTAACACCTTATACAGGCCCTGCCAAGATGCCTGCATCTTGTTCGCCTTCACAGGTTTGAGCACTAGTACTTTCTGCCCAACCTGGAAAACTCGCTGTCGGGCACCCCGATCGTACCACCTCCTCTGTCTCCCCTGAGCCACCTGGAGATTCTCCCTTACCATTAGGGACAGTTTCTCCATGCGGTCCCGGAGTTCCAGAACATATGGTACTATGGGGGTCCCTTCCTGCTCTGTCTCCCCCTCCCAGTGGCCTCTAATGAGATCTAGGGGTCCGCGGACCCTTCTCCCATATAGCAACTCAAAGGGGGAGAACCCAGTAGATTCCTGGGGCACCTCTCTGTAGGCAAACAACAGATGAGGCAGGAATCGCTCCCAGTCTCTGCAAGTGTCAGAAAAGGTCCTCAGCATCTGTTTGAGGGTGCCATTAAATCGCTCGCAGAGACCGTTAGTCTGTGGATGGTAAGGTGAGCTAAGCAGCGGTTTAATACTGCACACCTTCCACAGTTGCTGGGTGAGCACAGCGGTGAATTGGGTTCCCTGGTCAGAGAGAATCTCCTGAGGGAACCCGACTCTGGTAAAAATCCTAACCAGGGCATCAGCAACTGTCTCTGCCTCTATATTAGACAGCGCTACTGCCTCTGGATAGCGAGTGGCATAATCCACCACGGTGAGAATATATTTCTTACCGGATGGACTAGCCCTGGCCAGTGGACCCACAATGTCAACGGCTATGCGGGCAAAGGGCTCCCCAATGATAGGCATAGACATAAGCCTAGCTCTTGGGTGGTCCCCCCGCTTTCCTATCCGTTGACATGTGTCACACGTACTGCAGTATGTCCGCACAGCCTGATTGAAGTTTGGCCAAAAAAAGTTCTGCATGATCCTATAAGCTGTGCGGCAGGAACCTAGATGTCCAGCTAACGGAACATCATGCCCTATCCGCAGAATCTCCTGCCGGTATTTCGCGGGCACTACCAGCTGTCGATTCGGCGGAGGGGCAACACTCTTCGGGGAAAGCTTGGGGATCCTATACAACCTGTCCCCCACCCACTCATACCGTTCCCCATCTAATCCTTCCTCTCCAGTATCTGCTCTGTCCCTATACTTCTGGAGGGTCGAATCTGTCTGAGTTTCCCTCCCAAACTCCTCTGGGGAATCCCAGTTAACAAAGGTCTGTGCTATGGTACCAGTCGGGGACTGCTACCTGGGTCTCAGCAGCAGGTGGGCTGGTTCCAGCAGCACAGGTCTGGGCACGGGTAGTCACTGGGTTGATAGCGGCAGGTCCCATTGGAGCATAAGCGGACACCAAAGGGGCCAAGTCATTCCCAAGCAAAACATCGGCCGGTAAGTCTTTCATGACCCCCACATTCACGTGTCCAGAGCCCACCCCCCAATCCAAGTGAACCCGGGCAACCGGTAAACGGAACACTGCACCTCCCGCCACCCTCACTGCCACAGTATCTCCAGTGTGCTGGTGTTCGGAAACAAGGTTCTTTTGGAGCAAAGTCATAGTGGCTCCGGTGTCTCTCAGACCAATTACTGCTTTGCCATTCAGTTTAACGGTCTGTCTGTGCTGTTGACGGTTATCCTGCTGCGCTGCTTGTACTGGATCTGCCTCATGTAGTATACCCCAAAATTCCTCCTGCTCAAGACAGTGAGCGGAAGGTGGAGGTGGCTGCTGATTTCCGCCGGCTGGTCTTCTCCACGACTGGGCTTGGCTTGAATTGTTTAATGGGCACTCGGGTCGCTTGTGCCCCAACTGCTTACACCCATAGCAACGGATCGGCTGTGAGTAATCCCGGGCGTTGAACCGGGCTGGCTGAACGTAATTGTTCGCTGTTGGCATGGTGGGGGTGCGTTGTGCTGGGTGTTGATACACGGCAGAGGTTGAAGGAGCTGCTGGTTTGTACTCCACTCGGGTAGGGACCTTGGCTGCTGTCTGGTCCAGTTTCCTGGCGTCAGTGTACTCATCAGCCAGACGAGCAGCTTCGGGTAAGGTAGCGGGTTTGCGGTCCCTAACCCACTCTCTGACTCCTACAGGTAAGCGGTCAAAACAGTGCTCCAACAAAAACACTTGCAGCACCTCTTCCCCAGTTACCGCTTGGCACCCTGCCATCCAGTGGGCTGCGGTGCGGTGCACTCGGCATGCCCACTCAACATAAGAATCACCAGCCTGCTTGTTAGTGTCCCGGAATCGCCGCCGGTATGCCTCCGGGGTCACAGCATATCTGGCCAAAAGGGCATCTTTCACTGCCCTGTAGCTGGTAAGTTCCTCCTCTGGGATGGCCCGAAACGCCTCACTGGCCCGGCCGGATAACTTCCCAGAGAGGATGGGGACCCATTCTCCTGCGGGTACCTGGTGTAAGGCACATTGCCTTTCAAAATCCGCCAGGAACCCATCGATTTCTCCTTCGGCTTCTACAAAGTTCCGAAATGCAGCAAAAGGTACTTTTCTCCTTCCATTATTATTATTATTATAAGGTACCTCAGCTGCTGCAGCGCCTCTTCCTTGAAGCGCCTGTTGTGCTGCTACTGCTGCTTGCACTTGCACCACAATATCTGCTGCGGGGTTGGGGCCAAAATGTGCCAGCCTGATCTGAACTGCCCGGTTAAACTGTATCTCCTCGGGTGTTAACTCCAGTATGCCAGGCACATTCGCTCCCCCCGCTCCCTGTGCTGCATCCATTTCCAATAGTATCGAAATAATCTCTCTTTTCTTGAGATTACTCGCTGATCGTCCTCTGCGCTCCAATATATCTTTAAGGGTAGCACGCCTTAACTCCTCATACTGCATTTCCAACCTGGGATGTGTAGCTGGCCTTCTGGGCTGTAGGATTCATCCCGTCGCTTGCCACCAATTGTTACGACACGTACCGTCGGGTAGATGAAGCCGCCGTTTAGGCAATAATCCCCTTCTCCAGAAATGCAGTTTAAATCCAGCCGATCGCCAAACTCCCGAACGAAGTCCGCGAACACGGCAACTCCCGATCAGCCAAACAGTCGAACGCCTTCCACAGCTAGAAATAACGAAAACGCTGTCCCAATAATAATTCCCCCCACAAACGAGACCAAGCTCCGTCTTGAGGGTCAAATGAAGATCTGTTTAATGGGGGCTACCTGCCCGGTATTTATGCAGGTCTCCACAAGGTGGACACTCCCCGAGGGGACCTTGTGGAAGACTGTAACACATATTGGACAGTAGCCAATCGCAGTGGCTTCAATAATAGCCCTTCCCATCTTGCCCATAATTCCGTCTTCTTTACCTTGGAGATAATTGGGGAAGAAACCTAATTATCTCCCAAGGTAGAGACCATCGCCATCTTAAATTACAGTAACAAAAAGACATTAAAATACATAACTACAGAAATACCGAATGCATATGGTTCGTGTAACGTATCCCCAGACAGCCTGGATCTGAGGGCATGTTTTCACCGAATAGCGCTCAGATCCGATGTATCTAGTCGAATCGCCATGGAGTCAAAGTCTTTCACCAGTCCTTCGGTATACGAATGACTCCATGGGATGGCTGTCGGGGTAAAAGTCCATACGACTGAATAAAACTCCCGAACGACCGACGTTCGCATGCCTTGTCGAAAAGGAAGGTAGGCAGCAGCTTTTCAGCGGTGTTCGGTAGTTTAAGTGTCCGTTTTTAGTTCCATACAGTTTGTACCGAACACCGCTCTGTGTTCGTATGTCCCAAAATGGCCGCTGCCTCGTGGTCGACATGCGAACGACGACCACCCGTACGAATGGAATGGAGAGGTGTCTGCGGTTAACCACAACGTTCTAATTGGGGCCAAGAGGTTAACCAGCAGCACACTCCTCTCCTGGGTGGTCGTTCGTTCGGTAGTTTCAATCGGCATTTTGCAAATACACGAACGGGGGTATATGAACAGGCAATTCCGCGAACAAAGGGAAACAGACGAACCAACAATGCAGATGAATCTGTCACATATCCCATTCACTTAATTTTGCCTAAAAATTTGCGTTTTCTAGTCCGTTCCCTACAACTCACTGCTGAGCGAATAATCTGGCAAATTAAGTGGTTTTTGTTGTGTGTGTTTTGTTTACTTTGTCCAAATGTCCTGTTTTTGTTTGTACAGAAGATTATTTTAAAATTGTTAGAATCAGTAAAAACCTTTTATCTTTCCCATTTTCTCAGACTAGAACTGCACATCAATTATCTTTCAATTAAACTATCTGCATTTGTGCCATAAATCCCACTGCTTACATTATCAGTGGCCTATGATTAAGCACCCATAAATCCCACTTTGCTCACCTTATCAGTGGCCTATGGTTAAGCACCCATAAATCCCACTTTGCTCACCTTATCAGTAGCCTATGGTTAAGCACCCATAAATCCCACGTTGCTCACCTTATCAGTGGCCTATGATTAAGCACCCAGCTTATGAAACTCATTAAATGTAAGTGAACTTGCAGTAAGAATGATGGTTTGGCCTGTATGGAATCTAACATACGTGCGATTTCTATTCATCTGTTGTAAGCTTCGCCACAGGTCCTTTGGAGCCTTCCAGTCAATGTTCGTTCCCATTCTAGTAAGGGGATTAACATCTAAACAGTAAGTTAAAGTGATGTAGACAATAAAAGACAAAGGGGATGCATTCTTTAACTGAACCCAATTGCATTCGTTTTATAATTACAAGTCAGATTTTATTGAATGACCCCCTCAGTCTAAAAGAATGTCATGTTTGTAGAATAGGAATCTGTTTGTATTTTCTAAGCTAGATTTTAGAAATCTAATTTAAATGGAATTTTGAAAGCGCATCAAAAAAATGTTATTTTTTGTACATCATTTTTTTCTAAATAAATTCCAGATCTGATCCCATTCCCTTTTAAACTTGTTTAGTCAGAGTGTTTGGTTTTAAAGTCTTTGTAACTAATCTGTTCCATATTTTTACATCTTAGAACTAAAGAATAATGAGTGGAAATCTGTGGCCATGGGATTTCTTAACATGTGAATGCGTTGGGAATATGACAGCACGGCTTAACTAGACTTTAAGTGTGAATACTTCTAAAGCTGGCTGACAGTCACTGCTTGCAACAAGAGGATACTGGTTTAAATACATTTCTGGTAACAAGGGTTTTAACATACAGTTTGTTAGTTTTGGTATGTTCAACACAGTCAGAAAAGGTTCACTCCATCAATATAGCAATTCAACATTCCCTACTTCCAAGGTAGATGAAAAAACTAATATTGAGTTGGGTAATCTAATTTATTCTGCTACAGTTTCCAATGCGTTTCGTTAAGCTTTTTACAAATTAATTTCTCCATGATACCAGACCCCTCAAATACGACTTGTATACAACTATTAGTTATCTTTCCTGGAGCGGTTGTTGTTTTTTTGGCAGAACATGTCTGTTGGCGCTGTCCGTTGGATCCAATTATAATAGATAAATAAAAACATTAGGATTTATTTTATGCTTTCGTTTAAAGAGATCATTTTAAGAGATTTTAAAATCCTGAATCGTGTGTTAAGGAAAATCTTACCATTGTATCTTATTAACCCTGTAAGGACCAAACCTCTGGAATAAAAGGGAACCATGACATGTCACACATGTCATGTGTCCTTAAGGGGTTAAAGGACTGCAAAGCAATCAGATAGTCGGTTATGAAAATTAAACTCCTGCCGTCCAGCTACCTTGAATCAGAACTTGGCAAGATGGACAGTTTACTTCCAAAGGAGTCTTTGAAGTGTAATAATGAATGCATCATTTCAAAAGTTACTTTAAGCGCAATGTACACAAGGATTTAATCATCTACAAAATGCTACAGAAAACAACCAAAAAAAAGTCTGCTTTAGAGTGAATCTAGACCTTTCCTGTTTAACATTTCCATAAGCAGTGGATATATTATTTATTGTACAGATATATGATACATTGTATGACATGCACAGCTAGCAATTAAATGCTTGCCTCCAGCTACGTTGCCGCCTTGAATCCCAGATTCAAACTAATGTTACACACACCCTCTGTTCGATTTACTCCCTGACTATCTCTTATCTGATTGGTCTTATCTGTTTAACGCAAAAACCACTGTGTAGATTGTGGTGTGTGACTGGGTCCTCTTCCTATATTCCATGGTACAGTGTTTGTAATCTCACAGCTACTACAGATCTATCACAGTAGGTATTGGAGCAATGTACTATGTACCTACTTTTACGTTGAGAAGAAACCCTACCTGCAAATACCTATATATTTGACACGTTAATGTGTTTATATATTATTTATGAGGAAAAGCAGTTATTCTGAACATCTGAATGATTATTATAGATTCATTGATGACATTTTCATTATTTGGTTAGACACACAAATTGTCAACAATCCCGAGAAGGTGTTCACTCCTTAAGAAACACCACTTCATAGACATCAAAATTAGAGAAGGGACTCACCTCGGGTATTGTTTATATCACATACTCACCGACATTTAAAGGATTTATTTTCTACGCACGGCTCCTCAGGTGATTAATCAGGAATAATTTACACAGGAATATGCGAGATATTGAACTGAAATAATTCTATTTTCTGTAAATGATGAATTAATTTTTTTTTTTAAAAAGTAGCTTTGACTAAAGGCTCAGGAACACAGGATATCCACCAGAAAAGAAGGATAAATCATTATACCAATTTCACGTTATCAGTACCTCGGGTAGCACCAGAACTTTTTACAGCACTTGTATTAACACAATTCATTAAATAAGGGAATTGCTCAGTTCCAGCCTGTACTGAATCTTTTAAATGGCCCTTCAGACCAACTGGAAGACTATTTGTAGAAAACCAACATTTTGTCTTTTAAAAGCGGTGATTGTAAAGCTTCAATGGACCAAGATCCATGAAAGATGTCGGCACTTTGATCCAATCCGCTGTTAGCAAAGTTTTGAAAATATTTCTACCGATCTCTGTTCTTTGTTAGAATTTACAAGAAAGTTTTGAGCACGGAAACATTGTATGAGTTGACATATTCTTAATCTAGAGCGAAATGTCTATCTCTGTCTGTAACTTTCGGTCAATATATCTCCATTGGGCAGAGAGATTTAAGAACTTGAAATCTTCTGCTGAATTTCCTTCATTCCAAAAATAGAGAAAAAAAAATAGTATATCATTAAATGGGAGGGATTTATCAAAGTGTTGTAACATGAAGTGCAAGAAACTTAAAAAAATTGAGAAATTATCAATCTATGGAACGTGATTCCTATGTCCACTGGTCTCCAAAGCAACAACCCTATTTTTCTCGTTACAGCCCTTTCGCTAACCTCCCCCAATGTGCAGTAAATATAGTTTTATACGTTATTATAACATATCGTACCATGGGGAGAGGGTGCATACAAACAAGGGCAACTTGATATGTTTTTTTTTTTTTAGTCTAGAAAAGTGAGACAAAGTTCTAAAATGGTGTAACGGTGATTGCTCCACGTTTTGAACTGTGCTCATTTTTAATTTTTTACTTTCATAAATCTCCCAAACTCGATCATTTTATTTATCTTCTCCGTTTTTGCCACGAGTGGCGTACAATAACAGATGCAGTCAAGCAAAAAGTGCTGAAAATTGGGGTAACAAACAAATAATTCCCCCCCCATCCCCAAACATTACAATATTCACAACTTGGCTATTTGATCTACATTTTGTCATTGAGTTTTCAATTCACTACAGTTAAGCAACGAAACCATTAAGATTGTTCCTTCCTCTGCATGACACAGTTACCCTTCTGTTGGTCTGTGCTGTGACCGGTCTCAGCCTACAGCGATCCACCGTCATTTACAGTTACTGCCGGAATAAGTGGATTTGGTTTGGTGTTTCCTGAGATCTTGTCTGTTAGTGTACACACAGAAAGAGTCATACAGTGTGTGTGTATGGAGAACATGTACCGTTTGTATGTATACGTGTGTATGTATGTGTGTGTGTGTAATGTGCGGTGTGTATGTATGTGTGTGTGTGTGTGTAATGTGCGGTGTGTATGTATGTGTGTAATGTGCGGTGTGTATGTATGTGTGTGTGTAATATGCGGTGTGTATGTATGTGTGTGTGTGTGTGTGTAATGTGCGGTGTGTATGTATGTGTGTGTGTAATATGTGGTGTGTATGTATGTGTGTGTGTGTAATGTGTGGTGTGTATGTAATGTGTGGTATGTATGTGTGTGTGTGTATAATGTGCGGTGTGTATGTATGTATATGTGTGATGTGTATGCATGTGTGTGTATGTAATGTGCAGTGTGTATGTAATGTGCGGTGTGAATGTATGTGTGTGTGTAATGTGCGGTGTGTATGTAATGTGTGTATAATGTGCGGTGTGTATGTATGTGTGTGTGTAATGTGGGGTGTGTATGTAATGTGTGGTATGTATGTGTGTGTGTATAATGTGCGGTGTGTATGTAATGTGTGTATAATGTGCGGTGTGTATGTATGTGTGTGTGTAATGTGTGGTGTGTATGTAATGTGTGGTATGTATGTGTGTGTGTATAATGTGCGGTGTGTATGTACGTATATGTGTGATGTGTATGCATGTGTGTGTATGTAATGTGCAGTGTGTATGTCTGTGTGTAGATGTGTAACATATTTCTGCATACATTGCATGTGTTTCTGTGTGTATATAAATAGGGACATGTACACACATTACATTGTGAGGACACTTGTTTGTCTATGTATCCAAGGAGATGTGTCTGTGTGAATGAATTCTGTACACTGCAGCCGCTCTGTACCATACACATTTACCATTCCTTATCTTCTTGTCTCATCAGTCATACATCACCAGCCACTCCTGGACTTCCAGAGTTATAGATCGGCTGTGACACACGGCCTGTAATGTACACTTGTGATGTTTATATTGGTTATATGTAAGTGGCTGCAATGACAGCGCATGCAGAGGTGGATTAATTCAGCAGTGAGTCACCTTCCCTGAATGAAGGTTATGTAACATTATATCATCGGAGTTTAATGTAATCGTAATGCAAACTATGAGCCATAATACAAATAAACAAACAAAGAACTGCTAATATTTGGGAAGGAATTGACATTGCATTATGGAGACGGTTGACAGTGAAGTTTCGTAATTCATTGTTTCCGTGATGTGAAATAAGCAAGTTTTACAGTTCTTTAAAAAACTGTTTATATTTTTGCTTAAGCCAAATAACCTGGAGCGCATTCTAAGATACGGTTTAAAAAAAAATTAAAAACATTTACAAGCTTAAATGATCTGTTGAAGCAAGAATAAAGTCGTGTTTTGGGTGTATCTTTTTAACCATTGGCAACTTGGTATTAATTTCAGAATAAACAGCCGGCTTGGATGAAATGTTTCACATATTAAAATAATGAGTCTCGTATTAAGGCAGCTCAAATCCCATCACAATTTTTTTTTTTTTTTTGTAAATCTCTTCATTTTGCAAGGGTTTAAGGTTACAGCATTACAATAATTCACAGTTGTACAATAAGCTTGGTACAATACAAGTCAGAGCCAGTGACCCTGTACGGTGTTTCAATCATTAAAACTGCTATTTGTTCTTCTTTTTTTTGTGTGTGTTTTTGTTTCTCAAAGCGTAGTTTTGTTAGTTGCGTAGGGTATCTGAGTGTAACATTGAGACTCGCAGGTCTCTGCAATCAAAGTGTTTATACAATTCAATAATATGCCGTGTGTACAGGTTGAAGGGATATCTAAGTGTTTACAAGTATGGCGGCTTACTTAATTCGGACTCCAAAGTGGCGTTGTTGGGTATACATTGCCGTGCGGATATGGTGGTGGTCATTGGGTCGTGTTTCGTTACTGGTAATAAACTTAGCAGAGATTCACCTGCTTATCTGTACTTGCTTTTCAGGTCAGGATCCCTCTCTAGTCTATTATTGTGGTAAATAGTTCCCGTGTGTTGGCTAATAGTTTGTGTGGGAGATGCCCTAGTCTCTATTTCACTGATGTGCTTGGCTATGGGTATTGTCGCCAATCCTCGTGGCAGAGCCTGCGGTTCGCGTGGGTCCCTAGAACATGTTTCACATGTTATTGTATCCCATCACAATTTTAACATTGACAAAAGTTTAACACAACTGAATGCATAGCTGACTTACAGACTTTTTTCCAGTTAAGCTATTTTGACCTTAAATTTAAAGTTTGCTTTCAAATCCCGCTTAAATAACTCTGACCGTTATTAAAGGCTTTTTGAAGGAAGCAGGTAAGCAGTACAGGTAGTAAAGGCAGAAAGAAAAACGCAGTAAAGAAGGCTCGGGATGTGTATAAGGCTAACGCAGTAAAGGAATAGAAGAATGCTCGGGATGTGTACAAGGATAACACAGTTAAGGAATAGAAGAATGCTCGGGATGTGTACAAGGATAACACAGTAAAGGAATTGAAGAATGCTCAGGATGTGTATAAGGCTAACGCAGTAAAGGAATTGAAGAATGCTCAGGATGTGTATAAGGCTAACGCAGTAAAGGAATTGAAGAATGCTCAGGATGTGTATAAGGCTAACGCAGTAAAGGAATTGAAGAATGCTCAGGATGTGTATAAGGCTAACACAGTAAAGGAATTGAAGAATGCTCAGGATGTGTATAAGGATAACACAGTAAAGGAATTGAAGAATGCTCAGGATGTGTATAAGGCTAACACAGTAAAGGAATTGAAGAATGCTCAGGATGTGTATAAGGCTAACACAGTAAAGGAATTGAAGAATGCTCAGGATGTGTATAAGGCTAACACAGTAAAGGAATTGAAGAATGCTCGGGATGTGTATAAGGCTAACGCAGTAAAGGAATTGAAGAATGCTCAGGATGTGTATAAGGCTAACACAGTAAAGGAATTGAAGAATGCTCAGGATGTGTATAAGGCTAACACAATAAAGGAATTGAAGAATGTTCGGGATGTGTATAAGGCTAACACAGTAAAGGAATTGAAGAATGCTCAGTATGTGTATAAGGCTAATACAGTAAAGGAATTGAAGAATGCTCGGGATGTGTATAACGCTAACACAGTAAAGGAATTGAAGAATGCTCAGGATGTGTATTAGGCTAACACAGTAAAGGAATTGAAGAATGCTCAGGATGTGTATAAGGCTAACACAGTAAAGGAATTGAAGAATGCTCAGGATGTGTATAAGGCTAGCGCAGTAAAGGAATTGAAGAATGCTCAGGATGTGTATAAGGCTAACACAGTAAAGGAATTGAAGAATGCTCAGGATGTGTATAAGGCTAACGCAGTAAAGGAATTGAAGAATGCTCAGGATGTGTATAAGGCTAACGCAGTAATGGAATTGAAGAATGCTCAGGATGTGTATAAGGCTAACACAGTAAAGGAATTGAAGAATGCTCAGGATGTGTATACGGCTAACACAGTAAAGGAATTGAAGAATGCTCAGGATGTGTATAAGACTAACACAGTAAAGGAATTGAAGAATGCTCAGGATGTGTATAAGGCTAACACAGTAAAGGAATTGAAGAATGCTCAGGATGTGTATAAGGCTAACACAGTAAAGGAATTGAAGAATGCTCAGGATGTGTATAAGGCTAACACAGTAAAGGAATTGAAGAATGCTCGGGATGTGTGTATAAGGCTAACACAGTAAAGGAATTGAAGGATTTTTTCTTTTTAAATCATGTTATTTTGATAATTAAGAGCAATGTGATTTTGACTGTAATGAACAATTCCTTTACTGTGTTAGCCTTATACATATCCTGAGCATTCTTCAATTCCTTTACTGTGTTAGCCTTATACACATCCTGAGCATTCTTCAATTCCTTTACTGTGTTAGCCTTATACACATCCCGAGCATTCTCCAATTCCTTTACTGTGTTAGCATTATACACATCCTGAGCATTCTTCAATTCCTTTACTGTGTTAGCCTTATACACATCCCAGGCATTCCCTAATTCCTTTACTGTGTTAGCCTTATACACATCCCGAGCATTCTCCAATTCCTTTACTGTGTTAGCATTATACACATCCTGAGCATTCTTCAATTCTTTTACTGCGTTATCCTTATACACATCCCGAGCATTCTCCAATTCCTTTACTGCGTTAGCCTTATACACATCCTGAGCATTCTTCAATTCCTTTACTGTGTTAGTCTTATACACATCCTGAGCATTCTTCAATTCCTTTACTGTGTTAGCCTTATACACATCCCGAGCATTCAATTCCTTTACTGTGTTAGCCTTATACACATCCTGAGCATTCTTCAATTCCTTTACTGTGTTAGCCTTATACATATCCTGAGCATTCTTCAATTCCTTTACTGTGTTAGCCTTATACACATCCTGAGCATTCTTCAATTCCTTTACTGTGTTAGCCTTATACACATCCCGAGCATTCTCCAATTCCTTTACTGTGTTAGCATTATAAACATCCTGAGCATTCTTCAATTCCTTTACTGTGTTAGCCTTATACACATCCCAGGCATTCCCTAATTCCTTTACTGTGTTAGACTGACACAGTAAAGGAATTGAAGAATGCTCAGGATGTGTATAAGGCTAACACAGTAAAGGAATTGAAGGATTTTTTCTTTTTAAATCATGTTATTTTGATAATTAAGAGCAATGTGATTTTGACTGTAATGAACAGTGTGAATAGAAGGGCTGAATGTGTTGTAACTATATGTCTATATAGCGTACGTTGCAGTATTTAATAATGGTTACTTTCTTTCAATCTGTTTTAAGGTCCAAGTTGCTGGAAGATTTATCACTGTGCTGTTGGACCCAAATTCTTATGATGCTGTTGTTTGGGAATCACAGAGCCGTCTCGATTTTGGCAAATACGCCAAGGTTTTAATGGAGAGAATGTTTGATGTTAATTTGCCAAACTACGACATGACGGCAGAGAAAGCTGTATTAAAAATGTAAGTGAGTTTACTTTCAATGAATCTTTCCATTACCATTTCTCACCCATAACCCTGAATGGTGAGACCAGGAAATATCACTCAGCTCGTTGCAATTGTCATCTCAGTGAATACCAGAGGGTGTCAAACAGTTGCCACACTTTGTGGTTTAACAAAAAGCTGAAATCACAGTCATAGCGTGCGGAGAAATATTTTATTCTATATATCATAAAAAAGTGAGGCTTTAACTATAGGAACATGCTCTCAACTCTAGCAGATACTTTTGCCCTTCTTAATTACAGTCTGTACTCTGCTTCACACTTTATACAATTTAAATATCTGAAGTTTTGATAGGGTAACAGGTGTCTGATTTGTTTATATTTTTAGTTTGTTTGTTTAAAATTAGGTTTGAAACAATACCAGCTATTTTTCCAAACACACGGGAGAATTAATACAGGGAGGGATAATTATTTAAAATGACTGCACTGTATAGTTTGACGGGTATCAGATACTCAGAGCCGCCATTTGATAGTTTATGTATAACATTAGCAATGTGAATGCCCCACTATATAGATCAATACTGTGTATCATGTACAGAATGAGTGCAGTTAGAAAACTTGCTACATTTGAGAGAATAGACCCTGTGATTGCTGCGATTATCCTGCCTGGATGTAAAGCGTATTTATTAGATTTAGGTTATGTGCCGAATGTTACATTCCAAGGGCTTTATTGATAAAAAAAAAAATTTAAAAAGGGAATTTAAAAATAAAATAAAATTTGAAACAATTTTAGAAGTTCAGCTACAATGATTAAAATTTTACAGCGTAACTAAACCGATTAAATTTATTTCAGTTTAATAAATTAATAAAGCAGTTTCTATCTGGAAATCTTTTTCCAGAAAAATACATTTTCATAAATCTTGATATTTATTTATCATCATTTTAAGATCCCAATTCCATTTCCTTTTTTTTTTAAATCCCGTAAATCTCTATACTATAAACATTGAATGCTCCGGGCATGATCAGTGAAACTCATTTCTTTAAATATAAAAGTTATGTATAAAATAAACGGAGGTCAGTACATTTTGGCAACGCAGTAGAGGAGACAGGTCATTTATAAAGATTTGTATAAAGTCTGATTCATTTCCTGTCCCTTGCTGGTCACCTAACAACATAATCTTAGTGTTTACTTGGTGTTTTGGGTTATCACACTAATTAGTTGCTGCTATGTTAAATATACGAGGCCTGTCTGGAAAGGTATCCAGCCGTGTAATATGAAAAATAGAGACATTTATTGAAGGAGATACAAGATATATTGTACATAGGACAATGACGCCTCAGTCCCCTCTAAAGTTGGCACCTTGTGATCTCACACGTTTTCCCAGAGTCTCTTCCACTATTCAAAAAACTCAGCAAAATCCTTTGTTGGTATCGCCATTAGCTGCCTCGTCATATTCAGGTGAATCTCATCAACGGTCTGAAATCTCTTCCCGTTCACAGCGCCATTTTTACTATTATTTGTGTTATATTAACAATTTAAACAAATTTTTCCAGGAATCGTGTTCTGTGATATCACCAGTATTGCTTCATACAACCATTTCTCTCCTTTCTCGTCCCATTGTAGTATATATTATAAAGAGGGAAATTCGGGTACATACCGGTGGATATACACATCAGTGGGGGTGCATTCCCCTTTAACAAAACTGTTTCTGTTTTAATTCACAGACACCTGCAAAACACAAATCTACCCAGCCTGACAAAGTCTATGTTTTATAATCTGAACAATATATTGGGAGACAAAATGTCCTCGGCTGCTGAATGGAAGGCGGAAGGGTTATTCGATTTTACTTACAACGTGATGCTCAGGTATGCAGAGAAATTTCTAGAACATTCTGAGATGTGCAGACAAATTGCTGATTTAAAACAGCCCATTTGGTTACAAAGTATCTAGTTTAAGGGAGCACTTAACATGTATTCCTGACCCTATAGAGTTAAAAACACCATCTAGTCCCCTCCCCTTCCCCCACTCCACCATAAATATAGTAAAATCTTACTTTTATTCCAGTCTACAGCTCCTGGATTCTCCCCTGACCTGTCTGCTTGGCTGACAAAATCAGAAGTGGTGATCTCAGCCAATCACAATGCTTTCACATAGGAAAGCCCCTAGGCTGAGAATGTCAAGGAGGCAGATCAGGGGCATAGCCTGCACAAGTCAAACACAAGTCAATCCTCATAGAGATACATTAAATCAATTCATCTCTATGAGGGAAGTTCAGTGTCTGCATGCAGAGGGTGGAGACACTGAATATCAGTCACACTGTGCAGCACTGCCCCAGGAAGCACCTCTAGCAGCCATCCGAGGAGTGGCCAGTGGAGGTGTTACTAGGTTGTAATGTAAACACTAAATTTTCTCTGAAAAGACTGTGCTTACAGCATAAATCCTGAAGGTAATGGTTATACTCACCAGAACAAATACAATAAGTTGTAGTTGTAGTTCTGGTGACTATAGTGTCTCTAAGTGCAGATACAAGCCAGATCTGACCGGACTTTAATGGAGAATTATAAGAGTTTAAAGAAAGATTTGAGAACTCAAAGCAGATGGAAAGAGAGCTCTGTATAGGTTTTTGACATCTGGGTTTGAAAGGTCTGTTGGCACCAGAATTATTCTTTTGTGTCGCCCTATCCCCAATAACTGTGTCTCTCTGCACCCCCATCACATTGTGGGAAGGGTTGCATGCGCATGCTCTGCTTAGTATTCCCCGAGGATCCCCTGGGTACGTTACTGGACTGAGAATTGCTTTGCTAACAGGGTTTTCTCTAATAAATAAAAACCTGAGAATGTTTCAAGTTGGAGCTTTCTCTAAAACAACCTATTCTGTTTTGTCAGTTTTGACACAGTGTGTGGCTTGTTATTATATAATGTACACATTCTGATTTCAGAGCTGGGTATCTCACACTTTTCGGCTCAGAGTCCGATCAGTCGAATTCCCACCGTAACACGGCGGACATCCAGCATTCCGAGGAGGTTTACAAAGAATTCCGAAAACTGGATTGTCTCCTGATGAAGGCAGCACGCAACATGTTATCTGCAGGTAGAAGCATAGCGTACTCCATATAACGAATTGTACTTATTACTACTGGTTCTACCTACAGGGATTAGAGATGGAATATCAGAGGGTGTGAATATTTCTGGGTGCCAATACTTCTAATATTCACCACTCATCTTTCCTGGTTATCAAGTGAGGAATACAGAAGGCAATCTACGCCCCCTGTGCCAGGAATGTGGCATACTAAAATAAAATGCACAGATCTCATAGATAGACTGCCAGGAACTTCAGGAACCCTGTAATAACAAGCCCAGAGTATCCCAATAATTGGGTTTATTTACCCGTCAATATCTGTTCTATATTACTAGCTCCCTGTCCCTAACAAACAGTCATATTAAGGATCCCAATATTTCTGATACCAGGTACAGTATAAATCGATAAACTCATTAACCCTAGAATAGAATCGAATACCTTAATGTTGGAGGGCAGCGTGCGATTAGAGAAGGGATATTGTTTATGTAAAATAATAAATCTGATCACCATTAGCCAGAGAATGGGCAAAAGCTCAATCACACACATAGCTTCCCCTCCCCCCATGTGTTTATTATTCTGCAACGTTATTATATCTCCGTCCAGATTCACCGAAATTAATATCAGATTTCCAAACATTATGGCCGCATGTTAAATGTAACTCAGATACGTGAGACAGATGCGAGAAAAACCTCAAATAATGCACGTTACTCTGCAGTAAAGGGATTTAAGGATGAAACAGATGTCATTCTGCTGTAGGGAGAATTCATTTTCCAAATGTTTGTTTAAACTGATGAGTGATGACGGAATAGCTTCTGTAACGTGGATATCCTGGTCTAATCGGCACTGAATGATGAGATTTTATTTATCGACCCTTTTGTTAAACAACGTACTGTTATTAGTATCGATAACAAGAAATGCTCTCTAGAGATGTTTGGGGGAATATCAGATTTGCCTCACTGCTAATGCGGTCTCAACTCACTGCGGTCTCTCACCCCCACTGCAGTCTCTAAGCCCACTGCTACTGTAGTATCTCCCCCACTGCCATCAGGGGGTTAAACCAGTATAGTACAGCTGTACAGGGCACAGGTGGCCATCACACACTACATCCACTTTACACACACACACACACACACACTACACACACACACTACACACACTGCATCCACTATATACACACACATACACACCCTGCATCCACTATACACACACACACACACACTCTGCATCCACTATACACACACACACACTCTGCATCCACTATACACACACTCTGCATCCACTATACACACACTGCATGAAATGTACTTATCAATGTGGGTAGACTCTGGGGCAAGCCCTAGGGGCCCTGGCTTTGATCGGTGTAAGGGGCCCCAACATTTCTGGTGGCAGCCCTGACAGTGGGTGTAGAAGGCCCTTCTCAAACTACCATACATTGTAAGGGTATTTCTGACCTTTCAATTACCAAAATTCTGCTCTATTGCAGCTTGCATGAAGGCATATTTATTAAGCCAAAACTGGGGCAAGTCTATCGTGACAGAACATTTTGGAGCCATGAGCAGATATATCCCATAATAACCCAGTCATCTGTATCGTGTTACCAGGATTAACAGGGCTGCAACACCATATTAAGAATAACTCTTAGGGGGAACTGGGCTCGGAACAGTATAACAAATGATCATATTGTGAATAACTCTTAGTGAGAACTGGGCTGGTAACAGTATAACGAATGATCATATTGTGAATAACTCTTAGTGAGAACTGGGCTGGTAACAGTATAACGAATAATCATATTGTGAATAACTCTTAGTGGGAACTGGGCTGGTAACAGTATAACGAATGATCATATTGTGAATAACTCTTAGTGAGAACTGGGCTGGTAACAGTATAACGAATAATCATATTGTGAATAACTCTTAGTGGGAACTGGGCTGGTAACAGTATAACGAATGATCATATTGTGAATAACTTAGTGGGAACTGGGCTGGTAACAGTATAACGAATAATCATATTGTGAATAACTCTTAGTGGGAACTGGGCTGGTAACATAGTATAACGAATGATCATATTGTGAATAACTCTTAGTGGGAACTGGGCTGGTAACAGTATAACGAATGATCATATTGTGAATAACTCTTAGTGGGAACTGGGCTGGTAACATAGTATAACGAATGATCATATTGTGAATAACTCTTAGTGAGAACTGGGCTGGTAACAGTATAACGAATGATCATATTGTGAATAACTCTTAGTGAGAACTGGGCTGGTAACAGTATAACGAATAATCATATTGTGAATAACTCTTAGTGGGAACTGGGCTGGTAACAGTATAACGAATGATCATATTGTGAATAACTCTTAGTGAGAACTGGGCTGGTAACAGTATAACGAATAATCATATTGTGAATAACTCTTAGTGGGAACTGGGCTGGTAACAGTATAACGAATGATCATATTGTGAATAACTTAGTGGGAACTGGGCTGGTAACAGTATAACGAATAATCATATTGTGAATAACTCTTAGTGGGAACTGGGCTGGTAACATAGTATAACGAATGATCATATTGTGAATAACTCTTAGTGGGAACTGGGCTGGTAACAGTATAACAAATGATCATATTGTGAATAACTCTTAGTGAGAACTGGGCTGGTAACAGTATAACGAATAATCATATTGTGAATAACTCTTAGTGGGAACTGGGCTGGTAACATAGTATAACGAATGATCATATTGTGAATAACTCTTAGTGGGAACTGGGCTGGTAACATAGTATAACGAATGATCATATTGTGAATAACTCTTAGGGGGAACTGGGCTGGTAACAGTATAACGAATGGTCATATTGTGAATAACTCTTAGGGGGAACTGGGCTGGTAACAGTATAACGAATGATCATATTGTGAATAACTCTTAGTGGGAACTGGGCTGGTAACATAGTATAATGAATGGTCATATTGTGAATAACTCTTACTGAGAACTGGGCTGGTAACATGGTATAGCTAAATTGGAAATATTGTCCAAGTCAGCTATTCTAACAGTTTAATTACTTTGGCCTTGAATTTGAAATTCAGTTTAGTAAATAACTCTGTATTGCTGAATGACATGAGTTAGTGGGAATCGAAAGGTCTCCCAGATCCCTCACACAGGATCTCTGCGGATATATTATATTTGTTCCTCAAATGCACACAATGTGTACAGGTTCTCAAAGCTTCTAGCGGAGCAAAACTCTCAAAATTCTCAGCCATATAGCAGCCAGGTAATACAGCTGCTCGGTATTATAGAAGCTCGGTAATACAGCAGTTCGGTAATTATAGCAGTTCGGTAATTTTAGCAGTTCGGTAATTTTAGCAGTTCGGTAATTACAGCAGTTCGGTAATTACAGCAGTTCGGTAATTACAGCAGCTCGGTAATTACAGCAGCTCGGTAATTATAGCAGCCCGGTAATTATAGCTGTAACGGACCGTTTTGCCCACAAGAGGTTAAAAACCGTTTAGGCGATATTCCCTTTCAGATGCACAGGCACAGCTACTGCAGAACACCAATCCGCCGAACAGGAAACCATATGAATGCCGTAAACAGACGAATAGGAAAAACCATCCGAATAGGTTTACACTCCTAGCAGTCAAACTGGAACAGCATACAGTAAATCCCCCCAAGAACGAGACAAAGCTCCATGTTGAGGGTCAAGCAGGAACAGAGTTGTGGGTTTATTGTTCTTATATACACATTAGTACCACCCAGAGGCTTTTGGAACACAACCAATAAACACATACAATACACTCAGACACTCCCACACAAAATCCTCCCCTCTGCCTGTGATACAATTACCTTACACAATGGGTAATGTAATTATCACAAGCAGAGAAATACAATTTTTCCACATTATTCATAACTTGAAAAGTATGCATCACATTCACATTCTTACATTTTCAGAATCAGCATACTCCAAATACAAACATATGTCAAAATCATCCAAATTGGTCCAGTGGTTCAAAAGATAGATCGTAGTCCTTTGTGACCAAAGGAAGCATGGCTTTTCTGCCCAAACCCAGTTCCACAGAGTCTTCTATCCTGGAGATAATTGGGAAGTAATCCAATTATCTCCAAGGATAGAGGCAAAACTCCATTGAACATATGGCAGCAAAAGACAATAAAACACATAAAAACATATAACTGTGCAGCCATCGCACAAAACAGGTACATTCAACATATCCCCAGATAGCTCAGATCTGAGCGCACATTATTACTGAATGGCGTTCAGAGCACACACATACAGTTCAATTGCCATGGAGCCAAAGTCTTTACCATAGTCTTTCATTATACGAATGGGCTCCATGGCATAGCTATCTGGGGTATCACCGCTCAAACAGGGCCAGCACCGAATGACTCGTGTCTCCGCAGGGGAAAATCAAGCGTTTCAACATGGGGCCACAGTCTAAAGGCAGCAGGCGGGCAACCAGGCTCCTCCACTGCACAGTGGCAAGATTGGTCTCGTCACAATAGCAGTTCGGTAATTATAGCAGCTCGGTATTATAGCAGTTTGGTAATACAGCAGTTCAGTAATATATCAGCTTGGTAATTCAGCAGTTCGGTAATTATAGCAGCTTGGTAATACAGCAGCTCGGTAATACAGCAGCCCGGTAATACAGCAGCTCGGTATTATAGCAGCCCGTTATTATAGCAGCCCAGTATTATAGCAGCTCGGTAATACAGCAGTTCGGTAATACAGCAGCTTGGTAATACAGCTGCTTGGTAATATAGCAGTTCGGTATTATAGTAGCTCAGTATTATAGCGGTTTGGTAATATAGCAGCTTGGTATTATAGCATCTCGGTAATACAGCAGCCCGGTATTATAGCAGCCCGGTAATACAGCAGCCCGGTAATTTGGCAGCTTGGTAATACAGCAGCTCGGTAATTTGGCAGCTTGGTAATACAGCAGCTCGGTAATTTGGCAGCTTGGTAATACAGCAGCTCGGTAATACAGCAGCCCGGTAATTTGGCAGCTCGGTAACATGTTTTACTCCATACTCAGTAGGTTTCCTGGCTGGGCTTTTAAACCCCTTTTTAAATGACAGCGGTTACCCTTACTAAGTAGTTATGGTTGCAGAGTGATATAAACAGAGTTACTGCATCTTTAGATCTGCCAAAGTGAGTGTTGTTCTATATGTTTTCATTTTTGGGGCGCATTCATTAATGTCAATAAAACCCGTCTCGCCTTGGGGGATGTGGTTTGACCTTCTTTACGGATGATGAAAGCTTTATTTATTTATTTGTTTAATTTTGAGGTGAAACGTTGTATTTCGTGTTCACTGCCTAAATAAAGTGCACTTTGCATCCTACCTGTTGAACTAGTAGATTCTGCTTTCTGTTCTACCTGTTGAGAGGTTGCGGGCCTCGTCTATGGAGTACCGGGAGGTGCATTAGTTCCTGTACCTTTTACCTAGAGTGACACAATTTAAACTTCTGCATTTTCCTTTCAAAAGAATATTATGTTTGACGTTATTAAGACGAGAACATTTTTCTTTGCCCTTCCAATGCCCCAAAACCTGCTCTATTGCAGCTCACACGAAGGCCATTTTTCAGAAAATAGCTAATTATTCAATAATTCGGGACACCTGAATTTGGGCCAAATGTCGGTTCAGCTCAGCAGAATTTCGGAACCAAGATTCAAAAAATGAATCAGAAGAATAAAAAAAGAAATTGCAAATTATGCGGCAAATATATAAAAATAATATTTACTAACATTCTCATAGTGGATCTTCACATTATAAAAGTCATTCTTTAGTCTATGAAGTGGAACTTATTTTAGATTATGTTATTTTGTATTGTGAAACTGCTTTAATGTACAATGTTCTCAATGAGCGCACACACATTTCCATGTAAATAAAATGGTCTGGAATAATTGCAGAACAAAAGAAGGATTCCTCGTCTGCAAAGAGCCGTCTCTGGAAGCTCCTGGACAGTGAAAAACTCAAAAGGAAAGCAACGAAAAGCGGCTGGATAGAGAGTTATCAGCGCCACCTAGAGGACGCACAGGTTACTCCAGACATGCAGTCAAAAGCCATGGTACTTCAGCTGTGGGCGACGCAGGTACGGACCGAACATAACTATTGTTTAACTACTGGAACATTTGATTTGTAGAGTCAAACTCAGAAAGGCCTATCAAATTCAACTTCCAGCTGGGATCATTTTGCTTGGCAGTTACACCGGGTGTGTTTATATTATTAAAGGGACACTCCAGGCTCCCACACACGTTAGATGCACTGTGTAGGTTAGGTTATAGTTAGTTATACTGGGTGGGTTTATATTATTAAAGGGACACTCCAGGCTACCACAGACGTTAGATGCATTGTGTAGGTTAGGTTACAGTTAGTTATACTGGGTGGGTTTATATTATTAAAGGGACACTCCAGGCTCACACACACGTTAGGTGCACTGTGTAGGTTAGGTTACAGTTAGTTATACTGGGTGGGTTTATATTATTAAAGGGACACTCCAGGCTCCCACACACGTTAGATGCACTGTGTAGGTTAGGTTACAGTTAGTTATACTGGGTGGGTTTATATTATTAAAGGGACACTCCAGGCTCCCACACACGTTAGGTGCACTGTGTAGGTTAGGTTACAGTTAGTTATACTGGGTGGGTTTATATTATTAAAGGGACACTCCAGGCTCCCACACACGTTAGATGCACTGTGTAGGTTAGGTTACAGTTAGTTATACTGGGTGGGTTTATATTATTAAAGGGACACTCCAGGCTCCCACACACGTTAGGTGCACTGTGTAGGTTAGGTTACAGTTAGTTATATTGGGTGGGTTTATATTATTAAAGGGACACTCCAGGCTCCCACACACGTTAGATGCACTGTGTAGGTTAGGTTACAGTTAGTTATACTGGGTGGGTTTATATTATTAAAGGGACACTCCAGGCTCCCACACACGTTAGGTGCACTGTATAGGTTAGGTTACAGTTAGTTATACTGGGTGGGTTTATATTATTAAAGGGACACTCCAGGCTCCCACACACGTTAGATGCACTGTGTAGGTTAGGTTACAGTTAGTTATAGTGGGTGGGTTTATATTATTAAAGGGACACTCCAGGATCCCACACACGTTAGGTGCACTGTGCAGGTTAGGTTACAGTTATACTGGGTGGAAACATAGAAACATAGAATGTGACGGCAGATAAAAACCATTCGGCCCATCTAGTCTGCCCAATTTTCTAAATACTTTCATTAGTCCATAGCCTTATCTTATAGTTAGGATAGCCTTATGCCTATCCCACGCATGCTTAAACTCCTTTACTGTGTTAACCTCTACCACTTCAGCTGGAAGGCTATTCCATGCATCCACTACCCTCTCAGTAAAGTAATACTTCCTGATATTATTTTTAAACTTTTGTCCCTCTAATTTAAGACTATGTCCTCTTGTTGTGGTAGTTTTTCTTCTTTTAAACATAGTCTCCTCCTTTACTGTGTCAAATCATGCAGTAATTTTCCAAATATACTGCGAACAGTGATGCCATGAGTTTCTGGCATCTGCAAGCGGTAATTTAGTGATTAGCTCTCTAGAACTGAAAAAGGTGAATAATTCATTAGACAAATAAAATGCATTTATGTTAATTTGGAATTTGGAAAACGGAAAATGTTGGGTAATATCCTAAGAACTAGATTTCAGTTTTTATTGTAACCACTTGGTGGCGATATAGGACCTACCAGGAGACAGACTCTGGGATGCCCTTGATCAAGGTGCTCTGCTCTCCCAGGAGGAGTAATGCTTACATTCTGGCATGAATTGTAAATGACAGTCTGTCTCTAGATATTTTCATTCCACATTTTATCACTTCTGACTCTCTGTGACTTCCTGAGTGTATGATCTTGTCTGAGGAGTTGCTGTATCAGCTTTTGTTTAATAGAAAATAGAGATTCTGTCTGTGGACGAGCATTTCATAGAGATGGCAATTCACCGAAGGCCATAATGTTAAGTAATAGTGACAGTCTGGAGCACGAGGGATCATCCTTTGAAATTCTACTAAATCCAACAAAAAAAAACATTAAAAAAAGAAATAGGGACCAACAACCCCAAATCCGGTATTTTTATAACTAAGAAATTGAAACAAACCTATTTTATGTAAACAATGTATTCTTTACATCGATCAGAAAATTCAAACAAATCTCGCAGCTTTATTCAACACATTTCAAATTCAGGTCAATCTGCTCAAATACGAAAAATCCTCCAAATAAACTGAATTCAGCTCAACTATTTTGGCGTAAAATGAGAAATTCCGTGTTAATTCACTAGTACTGACACTTTAGAGCAGGACACTGAGAAAGTTGTGATAATATACGAGAGCTTACTAGTCTGGGCACAGTCCGTAACATTGTCTGTAACAGGTTTAATGTGTTCAATGTACGTCTTACACCTCTTTACACTCAGGTTTTGTTATATTGCTTTATTTTCCCTTAATTTATACCCATTAACCCCTTATACATGTGAGTGATTGGTACTTGCCATATCAGGATGTTAATACGGGAAGTGTGGAACCCCTTCAGAGCAAAGTGTTCGATAAATCGGATAATAATAGAACGGTCTTAATGCATCATTCATCATGATGGGGTTTAAAGCCTATAGCCTCTCTGTAGGCGTTCTGTAGATACGGTTACTCTAAATTATGCACAAACGCCATCTACCAATTATAAAAATACACACTTTTCCTCTAATGACACATACAGCAATATGAAATGCACGGGTTTTTAAAATGGAAGATATTCATGGTTTGTGAAATCCCACTGAGACTAGAAATTTGGAGAGAACTCTCAAGCATTAAGCAAAGAAAATGGTTTAATATATTCTGGAATTATTTTAAATAGTTTTAAACGAATACAATGCAGGCTATTGTGCTGCCATGGCAACAGAAACTTTCAACCTATCGATGCCTGCTTAATGTCACATGACTACAAGATGGAATTAATCAGATCTGGATGAAACATTAAGGGGTAGTGAAGTACTGGTGGGATTAAAAACCCGGTTTAATTGCTGCCACCGAATGTGAGTTTTGGGCGGCATTTCATTCAGAAAGCGAAACGGATGTTAACTGTCAGCAATTGAAGGGGCATTTCAAATTATATGCCAAAATTACCTGAAAGCAGCGGACTTGTTTCCAATTAATCCATTTTGGTCTAAGATTTAAAATGTCACTTTGAATTCTGGGCAAACTCTGTTTCCTGGGGGTCCGCGGGGAGGGTACATGGATGGTGAAGCTAATGTATGGGGTGCAGTACCCCAAGCACCCATGCTACTCCAGTGAGGGCACAACTGCAACTACAAATCCTCTTTTGTGCCAGAAATTATATTGTTGACAATGGTATAGGTGTCAGGATTACTAATTGATCCTGAACCTAGAATTGTATCACAGCTAGGACTAGAAGGTAACGTCTTACCGGGCCTTAGAGTGGCCGGACTTAACGTACCAAAGAATACTTGCCGAGGTCGGGGGGCACAGAATGGGACACAACAATAAGGGAAAGCCAGAAGTCAGGGATACCAGAATACAAGGAATTCAAAACGAAGCCAAAGTCAAAAACCAGAAATAAACGCTCAGGAACACACTCTCAGACAACCACTAGGGAAACCACGACAGGGCAAAGAGGAAAAGTAAATTTGAGCTTAAATAAGTGCTTTACAGTTCTGATTGTCCAAAAACAGCATTTGACCCCAAAACGTGCACGTGCGTCTCCCGCGTGACGTCACGTGCACGCCGATGTCGGCAATAAACATGGGTGGACGTATGGGTTTAATTTGGTGAGGATGCGCAGCGGCCGGCGTCCATCAACATGTTGCAAGAGTCAGTTATACAGGCGCATGGCCGCTGGGTGCAAATACCGCAAGGTGAAGAGGAATATGTTACAATAGGTACACATTTAACTCACAGAGATGGCGTTTAACTCGCACACAGAGACAGTTGCTGGGTGAGTGCATGATCACAATGTATTCCTAATGAATACTGGTTTGGCACTAGACCTGTGCAAGACCCTGTCCAGGTGAAGAATTCTCCAAAACTGCAATTTATGCCTAAGATTTGTATTTCTTCATATTCCTGGTTAAGTGAATAGGTGTAGAAGTAAGCATTATTGATATCATGATTTTCCGACATCCGGGTCACCAAATAATGAGACTTGAGCCATTATATTATATAGATGGGCAATAAATACACTAAACAGAAAAAAAACCTTGATTATTAATTCACTCTTTTAAAAAAAGGTATCTGTCATTATTACTGATGACCGAGATTGACAGATCTCCCAATAATGAGATAAGACAGGACAGTAGTGTATTACCATCCCCAGAATGGCTGGACTTAATGCCAGGAATGGAAAAAACAGTCTACAAACAGGAAACCAGAACAAGCTGAGGTCAAAAGAATGGAGAACAGAAAAGTCGAGATCCAACTCAAAACCCAGAAAACCACCCCTCAGAAAGGGAGTCCACACAAGGTTGGATATGTGCTGGGTAGATGCAGAACTCGTTGCAGAACTTAACCGAGGTTTCTGTGGATGCCGTAACATGATCTGATCATTCCTCGGTGAGTTTCAAGTTTTCAGTTCTCCATCCACCCAGAGGAATGCGGACATGGAGATTGAATAAATCGCTGTTGGAGGAACCAGGGATCCAGCAGGACTTGTTGCAGATTCTAGACAATTATGCTATGCCAGTGACACCTCTTTTGTAAATCTCTGGCTGGCACACACAGAGGTGGTGAGGGAGCACCTAGTGAAACTCGGGGCAATGCGGAGGTGACGTATGGCTGGGAAACAGGAACAATGCAGGACTCACCTAGAGGACATGGAAAAAGAAAAAGAAAGCCTCAACCCTCTCTTGATGCTCAATAGGTGTCTTCAGATTTTAAACAAAAAGTCCAAATTTGATTGGAGAACTGATTCTCTCACATACCTAGGTATTAAAAAGTCAGAAAACCAACAAAATAAATAAGTTGACTCCACATCAGATACTGCGTTAGCCTTGAACGCATTCTGAGCATTCTTCAATTCCATTACTGTGTTAGCCTTATACACATCCTGAGCATTCTTCAATTCCTTTACTGTGTTAGACGCATACACATCCTGAGCATTCTTCAATTCCTTTACTGCATTAGCCTTATACACATCCTGAGCATTCTTCAGTTCCTTTACTGTGTTAGCCTTATACACATCCTGAGCATTCTTTAATTCCTTTACTGTGTTAGCCTTATACACATCCTGAGCATTCTTCAATTCCTTTACTGTGTTAGCCTTATACACATCCTGAACATTCTTCAATTCCTTTACTGCGTTAGCTTTATCCACATCCCGAGCATTCTTCAATTCCTTACTGTGTTAGCCTTATACACATCCTCCTTTACTGTGTTAGCCTTATACACATCCTGAGCATTCTTCAATTCCTTTACTGCGTTAGCTTTATCCACATCCTGAGGATTCTTCAATTCCTTTACTGCGGTAGCCTTATATACATCCTGAGCATTCTTTAAATGTTTATTTTTTCCACTGGAATGCCATTACAAGTATATATTACTCTATAAAATACCAATATCTGTTTTTACCCTCCCCCTTTTCATATTATTTCCTCTTATTCTATTTTCATGTAAAACGTGTTCCTCTTTAGTTAGACTAAAACACATTTGAAAAAGCAATAAACTACTGAATTAGAAGACATGATGTAGAGTGATCCAGCATGGAGCAGAAACGTGAATCCTGTAGAGAATATACAATGTGTATGTTTAGCCCTTTCACAAAACCATTGCCTCGAGGAAGTCTTGAAATAGAAACGCGTCTCTCACTTCATTTCTCAGAATGAGAATTTTGTTTTTCTTACGTGGCTCGTAAACGTAGCATGAAATTGAACTCTAGTAGAGACAGTGAAAGGGCACAACGGACCCAGATAAATCTATGGTTTCCTTGACCTTTCTATACTTTGAGTCAGCTTCAATAAATAACGAATTTACAAATATCTCCGTATTGCACCCCCACCTCTCCTTCCCCCCAGGAATTTTGTTGTATTAGTTGCCGGTTAAAGGAAAACAATGTTTAATATTATGTTTTTATGTCTATATCTAAAAATAAAACGTAGAAATTCACTCCTCTATATCTTGTAACTTTAGCTCCGTCATTATTACGAGCTCTGTCCTTCGCCCCTGGCAGTCGGCACAGAGAGGACATGCTTTTTTTTTTTTTTTTTTAACCTTTGCCCTGCTTTGCCGTTTCTGAGCTGGATTATAATGACATTTTCTAAATCATTGATAAAATTAAAAAGGAAAGAGATCATCTTGTGAATAAAAATGATTAACGCCAGTCAAAAGTGATTTTTGAGGGTTTATTCAATGGTTTAACATGATTTGACAAATTACTCTGGGAGGGTGTCTGGCACTTCCTCCCTGAACTCAATCTGATGGACTTACTGTGGAGGGCTACCTGATCGGACAATGAACTTTAATAAACTCTAATTGTCGTTATCTGTTCATCTTGTCCCAGTCCAGCATGCTGATATGCAGTGCATTATTATGGAGTCATGTTTGATATGGACAGCTTCGCCTGAGGTTGCTCCATGTCACGAGTCGCGTATTGGTTGGTGCTGCTAATCAGTCGCTGGCCAATACAATTTCCTTGTATCCCATTTAGACCCAGTGTGCCCTGTTATGGTCTAGAGTTGCTGCTCGGTTTCCTCTAATTTTGTCTTTTCCCTAATTATTCTTTCATCTTCCAGTCATTTCACTAGTCCGCTATTTGCCCGGTCACTCCTTTCGGACCAGTAATACACGTCTATTCTTTATTATTGGAGTTGACCTGGGTTTGTATGTTTACTAGTTAATCCTGAAACTAATGAACCTGCCGAGATGAATCAAACGATGTCCAACATCGAGCTTTAACACAATCTACTGAACCTACGAAGGTGCATCAAGTGGTGTCCAATACTGAACACTAATACAATCTAATCACCTCTACTTGGCCAAAAGCCAAGGACATGCGAATAATGAAAGTGGGGCCGGCTAATGAGAACAAAATGATATTCACTTCTCGGATTGTAATTAGAGTTGGATGTGCAAATGTAGCAGGAATTCTGGAAATAAGAATATAATGGATAGATTTTACTGGAATCCTTGCATTAGTTGGAAGACGTCATAACAGTGGTGTGAAATGGCTATTAACTTATGGAGTAGTACGAGGGCAATGATAATCTCTAACTTGTAGAACTACAATAGGCCTTTTAATCGGACCAGAGAAAGAATGTAACCCTTTTTTGTCTCTCCATGGGTTACTTTACCAAAACGTTACTAATACATTGATTTTGGGTTTCGTAACTCTTGAATGTGTGCATTTTTAGAACTCTCCTTATGCCCAAAAATAGAATTACGTTTCCAATAGTAAAGAGACATTATAAGTAAAATACCACTACAAATCAGTGTGTAACTATAAGCTAGTGTTTATTATACTACTATCATATTATTACTGGTTAGTGTATTGTTAAAACTCAGTATTATTACATCGCAGAGTATTAGAAAAGGTTGGCGTGTCATTACTAACATGTCTACATCTGTTCCATTTTAGGGTAACGCTGGCCCGGCTGCATTCTGGATGCTCCTGTTTCTGTTAAAGCATCCTAAAGCCATGACTTCCGTCCAAGAGGAATTAGAAAAGGTTTTTAAAAGCAACGGACGCACAATAAAACGAATGGAGGACGTCAGCCAAGAGATCTTAGACAGCACCATCGTCTTTGGTCAGTGACGCTCACTTTATGTCTGATTTTATGGTTACTAATGTTGACCCTATGGAATTCTGCTCAACCTCAAACCCAATTGCAAAATTTAGGCTGAAATAGCAGGGCTGGGATTATGATTCAGTTGGAGAATTGTTCTAAATCTGCCCTATTTGCTTAGATTTTAAAATTCAATTTTTATTTCATTACAAAATGCTGTTGCTAACCTGTGCTATGATAAAATCTTTGCCACCTGTTCTATCACATCCTTAGAAAGTTGTATTACATCATTCTACAAACCCCGCCCACGCAGAGCCAGATGTTACACTTTCCTCCCTCATAAAGCCGTAAGACTGCCATCTCCCATATAAGGACTTTAGCTGCATCAGTCCCGTGCAGATCCAATACTTACTGAACTCAGGATTTAAACCTAATATCTGCAGAGAGACCAACACTGTACAGTGTAACGGTTTGTACTCCTTGCTCTGAACGTGCAAGCAAGGGGATATGGGGGATATCCCGCTCACCTTTTAAAGGTAACATGTTGATGGAGAGCATATACTGCAACCCCTTCCAGCCTCCCTCCACTTCACAGTTTTAAGTGTAAATAATATTAGGGCCTAAATATTACTGCGAAAACCCCCAAATATTTCATGGTACCGTCCCTACACGTCATTTATTGTATTTTTCTATTCTACATATTCTCCAATCCCTCCCGTAGACGATCTATACTGCAGAGTGTACCGTGAAGATCTGTCACAATACATAACTCATCCCCCCTCTTCATCTCCATACAGACAGCGTACTAAATGAGAGTTTGCGCCTGACAGCGGCCCCATTTATCACAAGGGAAGTCCTTCTGGATATGTCTCTCAAACTGGCAGATGGCCGGGAGTATCGGCTGAGGAACGGAGACAGGCTCTGTCTCTTCCCGTATGTGAGCCCCCAGATGGACCCAGAAATTCACCAGCAGCCTCAGGTAACTGTCATTTTGCATTCTCGTTCCTTTCAAAGCCTTTTTTGTTACTTTCATTGTTTTATGGGTTTTGTAATTCCATATTTCTGAGCTTCTTTAAAAAAAAAAAAATCTGGATGTTACGATGAAGCCAGGATGGGTTTGCAGACAGAATAGCAACTTGTACAGGTTTACAGGAATTACTGCCATTTAGAAAACAGCCCCCTCCATAACCCCCCATGTTTCATCTTTATTGAGGATTCCACTTGCCATACAAAGTCAATACAATGGTACAACAAACAAAATAATGTATTATTATACATACAAAACTAAAGAAATAAAGAATGTCACAAGCCATGTATCAATGTATTGGAGAGCCCACTCTGAACCCCTTACTCACTACAAATGTGCATCAGTTAAACTTTGCCTCGACTCACATGTAGTGGAGTTTAAAGCACAGACGGTCATGTGAAGGAGACATGATCATTTGTAGGGAATGTAATTTGATCTATACCTTATTATGGTAATATTGTTATCCTATAGAAAAAAAATGATCTAGAAATGTTTCTTACATTCGTTAAAGGCACGAGATAAGGGCAGATAGTATATGTATTTCTCTCAGATCGAAGTTAGTGTCCAGTGAACCTGCTGAATGCTTTTCACATACTCCAATGCAAGGCACAGATGGACAAGTATTACATTTAGGTAAATAGGAACAAGGAAATATTGCCTACCCCACCAGAAACTAAACACAGAACATGCAGCCATTAAAAGCAATATATCTTATACACCCTAGTGGTCAGATTTGGAGCTGCAACAAAAATGTGAAAATCCAGAAGACCAACTTGTTCAGTTCACAAATAAAACAGTGAATTTCTGCCCTGTGTCTGTTACCCTAAAAAGAGCACATTCTCACATTTACCCCCGTGCACAAATGTCCCCGCTGTGTTTTAGATCAGATTGAGTATCAGAAACATAGAATAAGAGCCTTTCGGCCCATCTAGTCTGTGCAATACACTTAAAATACTTATAGTTTTATTATATTGACGTTGAAAGCCCGATGCTGTAAATACAAGACTTTGCAATACGTATACGATATTCTCTGCTTACAATTTGTCATAGAACACAGACGTTTGCAGATATTAGAAGGGCCGGTTTGCTCACACACATTAATCTTGTTTCATCGTTGACCGGGTTTTTAACTGAGCATGAAAGAGATTTTAAAACAAACAAAACCCACACAGGAAGTTTCAAATTAGATTAACATGATGAAAGCTGCCCAAAATGTGGCTTTTATATATAATGAGCCATGACTAGGAACGGGTCGCAACCTTCTATGCTGTTCCTTTTTGCACGCCATAAATTTGCCAAACAGACACAGTTTCCATTTTTAGATGCCTGCACACATGGCAGTCTACGATCCATCCCGAATCAGATTAGTAATTGTTTTACAGCGAGGTCTTCTGGCATCACGGAATGTCTGGTGCTCCATTAGACAGCATGCGGCCATACTATGTCGTAATCACTAGCCTTTCCTTCTCCAGGATTCATTTCAGTGTAATCACCTTGTAAACCTGTAGGTGAACTGCTTCCTTATCCCAGAATTCTCTGTTCTCTAGAAATTCCAGTACGATCGATTCCTAAACGTGGACGGATCTGGAAAGAAGGATTTCTACAAAAATGGAAAAAAAGTGAAACATCCCAGCATGCCTTGGGGGGCCGGGAGCAATGTCTGTACTGGGAGATTCCACGCCGTCAACAGCATCAAACTGTAAGAACGCAGTTTATTATATAAAATGTTTCCAGAAAATACAAAGGCTGGCCACGTTAACATTTAGATGTTTATCACAACGTGACTTATGTGTCTATTCACTAAACGCTGAATTGCAGCAAATTGAAAATACTAACGGCAGAGCTTAGGCTAAAATAACCAACCGTGTCTCGAGAGCTTTTCCAGTTCAGCCATTTTTGCCAGGTTTCAATCGGCAACAATTCAGAGGTTAGTGAAAGATTCTGCATTCGTAAGCACAAAATGTAGTCCATATTAGTAATTTTGGGATTTCGAGTCACGTGTGTATCCAGTACGATACAGAAGCGATGTGTGTGGAGGAAGTGGATCGTGTAGGCCTGATATCCACACAATGTCTGCTACATTTTAACCTCACAGTTAAACACAATGATGCTCATTTTCACAAATAAAATTATAAAATTAGAACAAACATGAGTTTTTAGCACAGAGGAAGCAGACACGTTGCATGATAAGTTGGCAAGTAAGAATCAAAGGGGGAGACTATAAATCTTTTTTTTTAAAGTTTTACGTTTGTGGGTAAACGTTGTGCACCAAAGGATTGGCTAAGGATAGCCCACTATCAAAGACTAAAGCTGGAAAGCGAACACTATACAACAGGAACCCCGAGGTATTCAAGAAATGCAGGTTACGTTGAAATCAATATTACAAAATGTGACTAATTGTTTAGTATGTTAAGATTTTATTTTAAAGCAATCATCAATGAAGATTTAAAACAAAACTGCTGTTTATGTCCGTTTGAATCATGAATAGTTTAATCTCAGCATCAAATTTATATTTACATAAAATAAAGTAGATACTAATAGACCACGTTTTGCTTCTTGGATCTGAATTTACTTTCCTTTTTTTAGGTTTGTATTTCTCCTCTTTTTCTACTTTGAATTTGAATTCAATAACCCCAAAGACAATATGCCCCAATTTGACCGAAGTCGATATGGATTTGGAGTGCTACATCCTGACAGTGATATCGTCTTTCGATACAGAAAGCGTTTTTGAGCAAATCGGACGACAATATCGAAAATATCAGACTGTGACATAAGAAAACTGTGTAAAAAGGGAAAAAAATGGTTTTGTGGTTGCAAATGATTCCCCATTATTTTAAAACAATTATTATAGTGAAGAAATGTCTATTAAATTCACTGGAATACAATAGACACATTGAAGGGAAAACACGTCAAAGTGAAACATGTTATCTCACCTTCAAAGAAACTAAAATGTGAAAGAAGTATGACATTCTGGGAGATGGAACATTATCAAACAAACATTGTGCTCCAGAAGGAAAACGTTATTTTTTTTGTCTTGACTATTTTATTTTCAATTTTTGGGAAGTGCCAAGTATCCCATCAATGATTCCTTAAGCACGGATCGTGTCCGAATGTGCATGGGAGCTTGGAGACGGTTTCAGGGGAGCGGAATAAAACTGGAGGGGCAAAAATTAATGTGGGGTTTTTCCAACACTTTCTATAATAAGTATTGGAATATATATAAAGCTGATATTATTAATATAATTTTTATAAAATTGTACATTTTTAAATCATTGTTTTGTAATAAAATGCAAAAGAAATTGAAAGAATTAAATAAAAATGTGGGCGTACCTTGTGATGGCACAAGATCTCGGTCTGTTTGCATAGTCCACAAACAGACATGACGTTTGATTTTTATTTATATTATTTTGCAGCTTGTTAAGTAGATTAAGCTATAAAATGGTATTCTATTTATATAGATTTTTTTTTATTTATGTGCACTAATATGTTTGTGTGTTTATACAACTAAGCACTTTACCCGTTAAATCTTTATTGAATGTTTAGATGTTTAAATAAAGACATGTTTTCTTACAATGATCTGAATGTGTTTTGTGTTTAATGCCAGGATGTAGGTCTTTTACGAAGTGAATGGATTAGAATACTTGGGATTTATAGAATGTTCTCTGATCTCTTGTGTGGAAGGTAGTGGGGGAATATAAACTGTGAGACTAAATATTGGGAAGGATTGTTAGGCCCCCAGTAAGGTGAGCTCTTCAGTTAGCGTAGAACAAGGGTAATTAAAACGTAGGTTGAGCATCATGAATTTTTTGTTTTAAAAGAAAAAGAGTTTAAAAAACCATAACATTTTGCCTGAAAATTGACAGAGACGTTCTATATAATTTCTAAACTTTTGGTATAGCCCCTTCAGATCATACGTGTCTTAAATATACTTTATTATAAATATAATACGTAACGGCACACCTTGCTTGTCTCAAGTCTCAGTCCCCATCCGTTATCTCCTTTAGATTGTAAGCTCATCTCGCAGTTTACTTTTAATATAGCTATAGATTGGGTAGGAATATCCTATTTGTTCTCATTTGCCTAATTCTAAAGTGTTCCCTCTTTAACCTACCTGTTAATTCATTTAACCCATTGTCCAGCTCTACAGAAAATGTTGGTGCCCCAAGTAAAATATTAGCACTAACCTACAAAATTTAAATTTCCAGTCCACATGGTCTCACTAAAATATAGTTTTATAATAATAATAATAAAAAAATATATATAAAATGTTCCTGTTCTGTATAATTGGCCACAAACAGTGGGTTTAATAAACATGCGAGGTGACTCTACATCCATGAATTATTGCAAAAGTCAGATGTTGCATAATTGCACTTGGAATTAAAGTGAAGAGATTGGGGAAGTGCATTTGCACTACAAACACTGTGACAGGAGTCAGATAATGAGCCGTGCCATGAATAAATGATGGACTGGATTAGGAAACTCCAAAATGCATTAAGGGAGTCTAGATGTTATTGACTAGGTTCTGTTGAGGATTACAGCTGTAAATCAGTGCGAGGCATGCCAGCACGCTGGCTCTGCGCTGCGTTCGGTTTACATGCCAGTCCAACAAATTCCTTCAATATCAGGGCAGCTTGTTGCACCAAGATCCAAAAAGAAAAAAAAAATGTATGGCTTTAAAAAAAAAAAGTTGGTTTATGTTGGCATCCCACCATAAACCTGTGACGATTCAAGCAGAGGGTCACAGACCTAAAGATGGACCGACTACGTCGAGTCTTAGGGTTTCTTGCCAACCGCCAAACTGTAGCAAATTGAAACTGGAAATTGGAAAGTTGTGACAGAAATAGGTGAACCTTGGTCACTGCTCCGGCCATTTTAGAGTTTATTGCGTCAATCCTCCTGTCAGTGATCGGATTTCTCTAGCACCAGCACCTGGTTTGAGATTGCAATGAGTGCTGTCACTATATGTCATTCATGATGTCTTCAGTCACTGTTATAACAAGCAAGCAAAGGTTACAAGAAAGGTAGTAGGGAGGAGTCGGGCAACTATAGGCCAGTAAGCCTTACTTCAGTAGTGGGGAAAGTGATGGAAGCCATGTTAAAGGATAGGATCGTTGAACATCTAAAATCACATGGATTTCAAGATCAGAGACAGCATGGGTTTACTTCAGGGAGATCATGCCAAACTAATCTTATTGATTTTTTTGATTGGGTAACTAAAATTATAGATCAGGGTGGTGCAGTAGACATTGCTTACCTAGATTTCAGTAAGGCTTTTGACACTGTTGCACATAGAAGGCTTATAAATAAACTGCAATCTTTAACCCCTTAAGACCGGAGGGCGTACTATTACGTCCTCTAATAGGCGGCTCTAAACGCCGCCGGGCGTAATAGTACGCCCTCCGGTCTTTCTGTACTTACCCGGTCGCCGGCGGTCCCACGCCGGCGATCGCGGTGGGGGGGACTCCCAGGGAGCCCCCCGCGGCACGACCGTCCTCCAGGAAGCCCCCCGGCCGTGTGAGAGTGGGGTCCTAGCGAGGACCCCACAATCACATGGCCGGGGATAGCTGGCTTCTGTATTGCCAGCAGGGGGCTGCCTGTAATGACAGGTGGTCCCCCTGCTGGCTGAAAATAAAAATGAAATAAATAAATAGTGTAAAAAAATAAATAATATATACTTAGATCATATATATATATTATATATATATGATCAAAGTATATATATACACATATACATACACACATGTACACCGTCTAGGTGTATTTTACTATTAATATATATATAATTATATATATATATTAATATCAAATTACACGTACACTGATACTGATTAAATATATATATAATTATTGTTATATATATATTTATATATATTATAAAAAAAATTAAAATGTAAATACGTTAAAAAATAAAATTACAAAAATAATTAAAAATAAATAATTAAAAAATATATAGATGTGTGTTATTTCGTTCTAACTGTATTGTGAAATTAATATATATATATATATATCAAAATACACATAGAACGAAATAATATATATATTTATACACATAAATATATACGTATATATCACTATATATATACCTATATATAAATAAAAATATTTTTAAAAAATTATATAGATATATACATATATATATACACATACGTATATATATACATATATTGATTCTACATATATATTTATGTAATATTTTTACATAATTAGGTATCTTAATTAATTACAATTAGCAGGACCTGCATGACAACCCATGCCGAAAGTAAAGGGAATTTAATTTGCTAGCACTATATTTAACCCTATAACTTTCCGAGACACCATAAAACCTGTACATGGGGGGTACTGTTCTACTCGGGAGACTTCGCTGAACACAAATATTAGTGTTTCAAAACAGTAAAATGTATTACAACGATGATATCGCCAGTAAAAGTGACGTTTTTTGCATTTTTCACGCACAAACAGCATTAAACGGACAATATTATTGCTATGATACTTTTTACTGTTTTGAAACACAAATATTTGTGTTCAGTGAAGTCTCCCGAGTACAACAGTACCCCTCATGTACAGGTTTTATGGTGTTTTCAAAAGTTACAGCGTCAAATATAAGGCTTGCGTTTCATTTTTTTCACATTAAAATTCGCCAGATTGGTTACGTTGCCTTTGAGACCCTATGGTAGCCCAAGAATGAAAATTACCCCTATGATGGCATACCATTTGCAATAGTAGACAACCCAAGGTATTGCAAACAGGGTATGTCCAGTCTTTTTTAGTAGCCACTTAGTCACAAACACTGGCCAAAATTGGCGTTTTTTGCATTTTTCACACACAAACAAATACTAACGCTAACTTTGGCCAGTGTTTGTGACCAAATGGCTACTAAAAAAGACTGGACATACCCCATTTGCAATACCTTGGGTTGTCTACTATTGCAAATGGTATGCCATTATGGGTGTAAATTTCATTCCCGGGCTACTATACAGTCTCAAAGGCAACGTAACCAATCTGGCGAATTTCAATTTCAAATGTAACGTGCTATATTTGACCCTGTAACTTCCCAAAACGCCATAAAACCTGTACATAGGGGGTACTGTTTTACACGTGAGACTTTGCTGAATACAAATATGTGTATTTTATTGCAGTAAAAGCAAACAGTATTATGACACTGACCGTTTAAATGTCATGTAGAACTAAAAAAATCCAATAAAATCGTATTTTCTCCCATTTTTTTCATATTAAATTATGTTTCATAGCTAAATATTTGATATTAAATGAAAGCCCTGTTTCCCCTGAATAAAATGATATATAATAAGGGGGGTGCATTTACTATGAAAGAGGTGTATTACGGTTGGACAGACATGTAGCGCAAATGCCAGGTTTTGTTTACATTTTGTTTTGTTCACAACGTGTACATTTGGCTCCGTCCTTAAGGGGTTAAGTTTGGATTCCAATATTGTTGAATGGGTAAGGCAGTGGCTGAGTGACAGGCAACAGAGGGTTGTAGTTAATGAAATATATTCGAAGCTTGGACTTGTCACCAGTGGGGTACCTCAGGGATCTGTACTTGGACCCATTCTCTTTAATATTTTTATTAGTGATATTGCAGAAGGACTTGATGGTAAGGCATTTCTTTTTGCTGATGATACTAAGATATGTAACAGGGTTGATGTTCCAGGAGGGATAAGCCAAATGGCAAATGATTTAGGTAAACTAGAAAAATGGTCACAGCTGTGGCAACTGACATTTAATGTGGATAAGTGCAAGATAATGCATCTTGGACGTAAAAACCCGAGGGCAGAGTACAGAATATTTGATAGAGTCCTAACCTCAACATCTGAGGAAATGGATTTAGGGGTGATTATTTCTGATGACTTAAAGGTAGGCAGACAATGTAATAGAGCAGCAGGAAATGCTAGCAGAATGCTTGGTTGTATAGGGAGAGGTATTAGCAGTAGAAAGAGGGAAGTGCTCATGCCATTGTACAGAACACTGGTGAGACCTCACTTGGAGTATTGTACACAGTACTGGAGACCATATCTTCAGAAGGATATTGATACCTTAGAGAGGGTTCAGAGAAGGGCCACTAAACTGGTTCATGGATTGGGGGATAAAACTTACCAGGAAAGGTTAAAGGATCTTAACATGTATAGCTTGGAGGAAAGACGAGACAGGGGGGATATGATAGAAACATTAAAATACATAAAGGGAATCAACACAGTAAAGGAGGAGACTATATTTAAAAGAAGAAAAACTACCACAGCAAGTGGACATAGTCTTAAATTAGAGGGGCAAAGGTTTAAAAATAATATCCGGAATTATTACTTTACTGAGAGGGTAGTGGATACATGGAATAGCCATCCAGCTGAAGTGGTAGAGCAATAATACTCCCAGTAATGTGTCTTTAAACTACAATAAATGAGTTTAGAAATCAGTCAGTGTAAATAAGAAACATTGTTTTTCTTCTAAATTACATTTTAGCTGTATAAATGTTTATTACAAGGTCACCTAACATCTCAAGACAGTCCTGCCCCTGGCCACACTACTGTGGTCACATTTGAAATGTTGGGAGACATG